GGGCCCCCCCCCCCCAACATCAAATGTGCCAACTCCACCATCCCCTTTATATTTTTTTTATTAATATTTTATTTTGCTAGTTTGTGTTCGATGCTGTTACCGATGTTATCATCAAGAATAACTTGAAGGATTGTGGATTATTCTAATCTTCTCGAGTTCAGAAGTTCAATCCTGAGATTCAAAAGGAATCTCTAAATCAGGGGTTTTCCACCCCAAAGACAATTATTAATGCGGTGGAAGCCCTGACTTGTGTGCAGTGTACACTTGAGAACCGTACCGTGTGCGTACAGAACTATTGTGTGTACATTATACCGAATACAAACCAAACCTTTTCTTACAAAGTAAATGTTTACGATCTCTCCCATTGAAACAGAAAATGAGTTTCCGTTTTTTTTTACCAATCTTTTGTCACAAATCCGCCATGTTTGTAAATAGAATTGACAGTGCTTTTATTGATCAGCTGATATTTAAATTTTGGCGGGAGAATAATATAATTAGGTAATGGTGCCCAGACCTATGCTCAGTGTTAGAAACAGTAAACAGAACCTCATTTACCTGCTATTTGCCCAGCTAGGATTAACCGAATTTTTATACAAACCGGGAATTCTCTTAAATCTTGAATGTTCTAAATATTTACTTTAAAATGGATAAACTTTCGACCCACTCTAATTCCTCTGTCTGGGGAAAGGGTATGTAAATGCGCACCTGTAAATGTAATTTTTTATTCACACAGATTGATGAGCATAATATAAATTAACTTTTTTTATGTTATTGCATATATTTTGTAACAACTATTTTATAAATTTCATTGCGTCCTTATAAGCTTGGTGATTAAAACGCCTAAACTGAAACAAAATGGCGTCCAATTGTTCGAAATGTATTTAAGGTTTGTTTATTCGCCGTGCCGCGTAACAATGTGATGTGTTTCATGTTATCCGTGTACCTTAATTGTGCCTTTTCTCATCATAATGCTTTTCTTTGAATTGCTTTAAATCCTAGAATGTTCTCATTTTTGTTAAAAAAAAACTTTATGAACCCGGATTTAAAAATATTTAATTTACCTAATTTTCTTAATTTTGTACACTGTACAGATATCTTAGTGTTCAAGTATTTATGTACAATAAAATTGTGCTATTTTATGCTGTTATATATATTAATATTTCCTTTATTTGAACATTGTAATATTTTTCTTTATTTTCAGGTTTGACTGAAGAAAGTGAAATACCTTTCTACGAGACTGATGAAATAATTCACAATGTCTCTAAGATTTTTTCCGGTTTACATCAACCATATCGCGGGCTCCGTCAACGCTGCCGATCTCAGGAGCCTGTTCGCTAGGTTCGGTTCCGTGATAGATGTTGTCATTGTCGACGAGTATGGATTTGTAAATATGAAAACTTGCGAGGACGCATGTCTCGTAATCCAAGAGCTCAACGGACGCGGGTTGCACTCAAGTCTGCTCCATGTAGATTTCTCCGAAGAGATGAAACAGTATCTTCTGAACCGAGGTGTCACATTTAGATGTACACCCGACCCTTACTCCGGGGTAGTGGGAGAACAGCATCCCAATTATCCTTCAGGAGAAGGGATAGTTCAACCTAACCTAAGTGAACCTGGATACGGTTCCCTCATGGATAATAAGGAGTACCTGGATGAGAGATTAAAGATCATAAATGCAGAGCTGGCCAAGCTCAAGGATTCTCCTAGTACAAGTGAGCCTAGGCCGAGAAGATCAAAATCAAGAGATAGATCTTATCACAGAAAACGATCTACATCAAGAACCAGATCACGAAGATCAGGATCCAACTCTAGAACACGGGATAAAAGATCAAAATCAAGAAGAAGGATTTCAAGAGAAGATCTCTATCATGATCGAAATACTTATGAGGGAGAAATATCAAGAGATTATGATCATGACCCAAGGCTCTCTGTGGACCGTGAAAGGATAAGATATTCAGGATCCAGATCGTCTGGCCTACCTAGAGAAGGTTCAAGATCAGATCGGGATTTATTTCATAGAAGAGATTCTATTCCACCAACTCGAGGATCTAATCCAGGCTTCTCTAACTCGAAAAGTAAAAGAAGAAGAAACAGAAGACGCCATGTTGAACATCTGAATACACCTCAGAGAAAATCCGCCTTGTCTAGACTTGGCGACATAGTTCCGGCCAGCAGAGAGGAGGCTAACCTATCGGAGATCAGTGATAATGAGATTATCAATCCAGAGGAGGAAGCAGAGTCAGAGCTTGAACTCTCGGACGAGTTCGTCGAGGATAATCATCGTAGACCGAGCGGAGAGTTTGAGGACGGAGCAGATATTGATCTGTCGAGGAAAAATATGAAAATCCAGATAAATATTGGATCCAAGAATATGAACGATATGACTCGTAAGATTATGGTTGATCTTGAGGAACAGACGAGGGTTCAACGGTTTATGATAAAGTACTGGTTTGTCTCGGATACATCTCCACAGTTCAGAGAGGAGATCAAAGTTCTCAAGTTTGAGAGTCTCCACGATCCTGAACCTCTCTCCGTGGTTGAAGTAGAATGCACTGCTCCACAGGTTGAGGAAGCCTATTCTCAAATATTAAAGTCCCTACCTGAGGATACAAGTATCTGTATCTACAATAGTGCTGGAGAGAATATTAAAAATAATGGTTCCGAGTACTCTATCATCCTAATCAACAGAACCTTTCCTAGTAGCGTGGAACTACTGCTACGTGAGAGTGGGATTGTAAAACTGCTGACCAATAACGGTTCAACTGGTCGGGTACAGTTTGCAAGTATTTGTCAGGATCATCTGATTAAACTTATCTTGGATTTCCAGGCAGGGTTGGCAGGAGAGACAGTCTCCGCTACGTTTGCTGATATTAAAAGCCAGCTATTGCTTGAGGAACTTATCTTAAAAAAGAACCCTGACGCTAAACTCCGACATAAACTGCAAATGGAAGGTTTGGGATTACAGATAGAAGATTCGAAAAGATATAGCAAAACAAAAAAGAGAATAGTGTCTCTGATGAAGCCCCACTGTCTGGTTTTGAACATGGAAGTTGAAGGAAGCAGTGTGCAGATTGAGATACTCTCTACCAGGAAGGACGCCATAGCTTTCTGCGTAGAGCTGACGAATACATTTCTATTCGGAAACCGGATCTATCTCTCTGCTAAATCTTCCAAGGATATCAGGTTCAAGGAGGAGGTGGAGAAGATCCTGATGGACAAGTTTGGGAACAGGTTGAAGGAGCTGGAGAACGAGATCATGATAAACATAAGAGAGGCGGAGGCAGATATATCTACGGTGGATAAATCTAAAGTAATCCGTGAGATAGACATGTATGTGGATGGGACGAGGAACATGATGGGACGGGACGGGTTCGAGGAGTTGTTTAACGATTACGGGATGGTGGTTCATGAACACAGTAAACCGGATCTTAGATATAGTTTCGTCACTCTCTTCTCCACAGAAGAGAAGGCGTTGAAGTCCTGCTATGAATTGACCGGAAGGAGGATGGGAGATAACAGTTTAGTTGTTGAAATATCTCAGAGAGAGCGTCACGATCTCTCAAATGAATCCAAGGCTCTGGCCAAGAAGAAGTTAGCTGAGGTGAGAAAGAAGGATCAGGAGGAGAGAGCACTAATGATGGAGAATGATGATGGAACAAGTTTAAGAAAATATTATCTCTACCTGGACGGATTAACCAGTCCTAGAGAAAAGTATGAGATTGCCTCCTTGTTTGAACCCTATGGTAAGATAATAAAGGCTCTGCCCAACGAGGATAAGTACTACACGTTCGTAGATCTCGAGACAACGGAAGAAAACGCAATAAATGCCGTTCTTAACGTTTCCGGAATAGACTTTTTCGGAAACGCTCTTAAGGTTCAGTTCCGGAAGAACAAGGGGATGACCAAGGTGATAGAGAAGTTAACGGAACGGTTAAAAAACCCCAACCTTGCACTGAACACGATGAACAGGAAGCGAGGGATGGATATGTCGGTTCCTATCGAGTATCCTTCTCAGTATACTAAGCAGAGTAAGGTTGATATACCAGATTCAGTCAAGTCCCTGATGATGCCAAACCTAGATGATGACTCCATCATTCCCAGGTTTAAAGAATTGGTTTCCTTTCAGTTATTCTAATTATCATATAATAGCAGATCAATTGGTTTTAGTTATATTTTGGATTACTTTTAAATTCATATAATTAATCCTAAATTCTCACTCCCTGTCTTTGTTTGTCTATTTTTTCAGATATTGATTTGTAAGGTTTCTTTATGAAGATTTGATATTGATAATTACGTTGTTCAAAATTTCAGAAATAAAAATGAGAGATTTAACCAGCGACCAAAAAAATATAGCCAAAAGCCGAGTCTTGTCGTTTTTAAAATCTTTTTTGACTTATAAACTAAAATATACCGCGTTAAAAATAGAACATAATTTTAAAATATATATTGATTTTTCAAGCTTGAATTTAGTTGAAGTAGCGAGATTTTAATTGAGAGGAAGTGGGGATTTTATGGAGAAACAAGAAAAGCTCAAGTCTAAATCTTTAATTTTATTTTTACCACAAAAATCAATTTAAAAATATCTTATTTAAAAAAATATGTTAACTAAGACTATCTGAAGTGCCCGGCGTTTTCCGTGGAACTATACAACTCTGGGAAAAAATATTTGAAAATAATATTTGTTAAGTCTATGCTTAGTATATGTTAACCCTAAGATACCCATGGGTCTCCTAAAATTTTCAGCCAATTTGGTCCAGCCGTTTGGCCATCTATAGCTAACATATATATTTGAGCAAAGAGAGCTATATGATATAGATTTAAATTGGTTAATTACTCCGTAGAAAGTTTTACGATATACTGCATCATTAGCTAGTTTGAAATTGTGTTCAGTTCTAAATATAATCTTTTACGTAATTTTGATTTACCTAATGATGGACTATGTTTACGTTTACCAAATATCCTTCATTTATAAACCTTTTCTTTCTAAATAATTCTTTCTAACCTTAATAAACTTTTTTTCTCTTAAAATTCCTTTCTAGTAATTAAAGTCCTTACTAAAACTTTAAAAATATTACTTTCTACCATCTGATTAGTAAATTAGTATTTTTTAACCTTTTATCTCCATTTTTTCTTTCAGTATTTATGAACCTTACTTTTCTTAATGTTCTTTTCCAGCATTTTAAACCTGATGTTTCCTAAATCTTTTTTAATTTATCCTTTCCACCAATTATAAACATTTTGTTAAATGTTTGAAAATTTTACTTTTCAAAAATTTTCAGAAAATATTATTAAGTCTCCGTGATATTGATTTGGACTTGGAGCTTTAGATCACAATGATTCTCCAATTTATTAATGCTTTGAACTTTCTTTGTTTTTATTAAAATTTAGCCATTGAACATTAATTGTTAAAAAAGAGTACATTCTATTATTGTTCCGAAGGAAAATTCAAATATAATTATGTTTTCCTGTTGAGTGTGGACACCAATTCTTTCATTACCAGGCTCGAGTTTACGAATCCGGTGAAATCCTCGAGTATCAACGAGAGTGCAGTCGAGAATTTTGTCAAGAGTACACGCGAGCAGACCGAACAATCGATACACACAGATACAAGAGGTGCGCGCTCCTGGGCCCAATGGGCGCACAGAGACCAGGTGGAGGAGGAGGGAGTGAAGGAGAAGGTTGATTTCAGCAAGTTGAGCGCGGATTATCTCAAAAATATCATGGAAACTGTTTCTTCTTCAGCGGTTCAAACACAAGCAAAGGTATCATAAAATTAGTTGTAAAAAAATTATACAAAAAACAAAAGTAAGGACAAGAGTAACAGTGAGAAGGAAACAATTTTATCCTCTAAAAAATTGAGTATTTTCTCCAAATTCTATGAAAGTTACATGATTATATTCTGATCTACTTTAATTAATTGTTGATGGATCGTTAATGCACTCACAACTCACAGGAAATCGAAATGTTGATTTTAAACTAAAATTGTTAAAAAAAAGTTTGTTTTTCACATGTTCGAAAAAGAAGTAGGTTTTAAACGCGTGTAGAAAGTACAAAATCTCAGAAAAACTAAAATAGAATTCCAATTTCGATTTAGTAAAAATAAATATCAAATATTTGAAATGTCCCTAAATTGAATCCATATTTCTGTTAAATTTGAAACAAAAATCAACTTATCCTAATTTTTGCTTTTGCTTAGGACGAGGGAGAGAAGGCGGTCCGTCAGTTTCACGTAGGCAGGTTGAACAGCAATATACGAGAATATGATATCAAGGAAATCAATTTAATTCAGATTTATTAAAACCGTAAATAGAGAATGAACTAATTTGTTGTACTTTTATTTGTGAGATTTTTCTTCTTGCATGAAAGAAAACTTTCCTGCAAGACGTTCAACAATTATGAAATTATTTCAGAGCAAGCTTTGTTGTTGTTGTTGTTGATTGATTGATTGATTGATTGATTGGATAGGATCTGTTTGCTCGCTATGGACAGATCAATAGAGTTAATGTCATCAAGTTCAGCACAGCATTTGTTTTGGTAACCGTGTAGATGTCAAATTCATGTAAAACCTTAGCATGTTCTATCTGAAGATTATTATCCTATGTACAAATCTTTTAAAAAATATCTCTTTCTATCAGAGGATAAAACTTATGAGATGGAATTTAAAGAATTTGAGACGCGGTTTAAATCTGTCAAAACCCGGTTTAAATTAAGCGCCGACTTAAATCTTGAAACATTTGATACAATTTTAAGTGGAACGAACCATATTTAAGCCGCGGCTTAAATTTAAACCGCCGCTCAAATTCTTTAAATTCGGCCACTGTTTGTTTAATCTGTGATTTTAAGGCGTAGCTTTTCCATGGACTTTCCATTCTGGTGGTTAGATCTTAGAGGCAATATACCTTCAGGAATGATCAATTTCCCCCAATTTAAGTTAAACCTCCATTCAAAAGTTTTTTAACTGAACATGGAGTCGTTGAAGCAATATCTCAAACTACGCTCGGATGATTTTAAGTTTTAATTGTAAAAAATTCTCGATAATTTAGAAAAATAGTTTTTTTAATTGTTTATTTTCAGGCGTATATGTCTGAGTTGATGGCCGTGAAGTGTGTATGTGAGCTCAACGGCGTTATAGTCAAGGGAAACAATTAAAAATATATACATTAGAATTTTTTAATTATTTTACAAAGAAACTGAATACTGATCACTAACTCTTAAGCTTCTAGTTCTCGTATATCTTAGAAATATGATGGTGTACTGTATAACATGTGTTTAACATTTTAAACTAGTACTAATTAGTAATTACTATACTTTTTATAAGTAATGTACTAATTATTTCAATAGTCTAATAGAATTCACGGGTTAAAACATCAAAGGTCTTCGACATCAGGTTGCAAAAGTTTTTAGATTAAAAAGTTAGAATTTGTGTTCAGTTCCTCTGCAGGGATACAAAAAAAATATTAGTAGTTAAATTAGGTAATTGTTTTTTTTATAGGGATCTCGACTTACAGTGGAATTTACTAAGGTAATAAAATCCTGTTGGAAAACTAGATATAACCAACCAATATTGTGGAAAAATCACATATTTTGCAATATTTGTAATATATTGTAGTTGTAGATATTGTAGATTACCATTATTAATATTATTATTATTATTATTACCTACGGAGATAGGGTCACGCGCTATGCCTCTCATGGATTTCCTGCCGAGCCACATGTTGCATGGTTGACACTGGACATAAATAAACGAGCAATCATGTTTAATTGCAGTTTTTAATCTTAATTAATCACTTATAATTACACACACTCTAATTATAAATTATTTATGATGGTAGAAACCAAACAATTGTATTTTCGCCTTCAGTAATAAAAACTAAATTGTTCATGTATATTTTCAGGGTTCGTACGAGGAGACGAGGAACTTCAAAGAGAAATGGGCGCAAGAAATAAAATTCTTTAGTTCAAAGGGACATTCGTATTTTTATCTAAATTATTACTTTTTTCATCTCGACCAATTTTTTCAACTTTTAGTGAAACATCCTTTTTTAAGCTTTTCTAATTTCCGCCTGTCACTTATTTATCGATTGATAATAGCACGTTTTCAGAATTGGGCCACTTAAAAAAAACGTTATTAATGTCTTCATTTTTTTTTTAAAAGTATAAAATGATCTATGTCTGAAGGAGCATCATGCTACCCTGGATATACAGATTACTATTCCAAAGATGAAAATATCCGAGATCGGAGAGGGTCTCAAGAACTTTGACATGTCGCTTTCTCTCGGTAAACAATATTACTATTTTTGTTTTGTATTTAATCCACTAGAAATATTTGCTGAAAGCACTTATCTTCAATATCAGTGTTTTTAAAATAATTCAAGATTTTGAAATATTTTCTCCATCATTTTCTTAAACATTTTTAGTTTAAAATTGTGGTTCTTGGGAGGGCCAAACTTCAGTACCTTCTGTTTAGTTACTAAACCCATAAACTTTTAAATTGCGACTTAAGGGGACTGTAAGCGATATTTAAAGTTACCCTCCATGCAAAGATGGAAAAGCCTGATTCACAACTGTGCCCTTTAAACCTTTGTCTGATCAAGTATAAGTTAGTTATGAAAACTGATTAGATTCTCTCATGGCTTTCTTTAAAAGGGACTTGCGTATATCTACTTCAGAAAAACATTTAGAATTTTTTAAGACATTAACGTTTTTAAACGTAATATGATATTCTTATGAGGAAAAAAATGTAATAATAGAAATTCTTAAACGAGATTAAATAATCTTGATGTATTCTATAACGAAGGCTGCGCGGTAATTTTTTAGAGAACGATTTTGGACCCCCGTCCCCCTTCTATCAATTTTGTATATGGATCTCATATGTAACACATGGAAAAAACTGGTCATGTGGCCGCAGCGCCCGGTCCCCTAGCCTGTACTAGCCGCCCAGAAATTGTACTCAATTGATAGGAGGGTGGGGGGGGGGGGGGTCCAAAAAAACGTTCTCTAGGACAGACCTGGCTGAGTCTTTCGATAATAATCAAAATATTCCACGGTTTTTCTTTCAATGCTTTAACAATAATTTTGATTATTACACCACCTTCTGTGCTCATTTTTACCTATAGGAGACCAGGTAATAACTACAAACATAAGAGCGAGCATGAACTCTTTCTCTTCGGCTCACCTCTATTTGCACTGATTAAATCTTATGTATATATTTCAGGTAGGCAGTTTATACAGGACTCAACCGTGAACTGAAAACACAATAAATCAGTCCAGGGTTAATTATATGCATGACAATAATAAAATTTTAGCCTTTAAAATAAAACTTTCTCCAGGTTAACTATTAAATTATTTATATAATGAGAAAATAAACTTACAATGTTGATTTGTCCAGAGGTTTGTAGCCTATAGTTCATTAAATTGCACCGCAGTCGAGAACAGGATAACTAAAAATGAGCTTATTTAGTCCGATCGAAGTTTTCATGTGTCACTTCAAATATCCTTTTTTAAGTGGTGACTTTCTCACATTCATCACAAGCATCGTGATTTTTAGATTTATTACCTGTATTTGATCTAGAGGAGGAGCTAGACCAGGGATACAGAATCAGAGCCCTTCCGTGGAGGTATCGGAGGGGAGCAACAATGTTTCTCGTCGGAGAAACCGGAGTAGAGGAAACAACTAAGCCAAAGTTGTGCAGGCCTGGTACGTAGAGGTATATGGGTCTCTAGAGTACCAAAAGGATATTCTGGAGCACGAGCTGAGGATCCAGAGAACAAGGATGACTCAGCTTCCGGTGATGTCGGAGTCTTGACAACGGAGGTCTAAATAAAATTAATTAGACCGAGTTCCAGAGCTCAAAGGTTGTGAGCTTTGATCCTCACCTTTATATAAACTTCCTTAGACTCAGGATGTCAAGATTAGTAGGTGGGAGTAGAAGAGAACTGAACCAACTCAGATTAGAAGAGAACGGAACCATCTCAGGAGTCAAACACGCAGGGGAGATATCTGCATGTTGAAGATCAGTAGAATTTCTCCGCGAGTCAGCGGAGCAAGTTGAGGTTATATATCAACGGTACTCGTGCCAGCCTAGCATGAGAATTATGTTGAGAGATTTGTGAGAAGTCAGGATATCATTTAAGCTCATTTTAGACATTTGCAATTTTTCACCTGGTTTAAAGCACGGATACGAGCCCGGAACTATTTAGAGGAATCACAACAATCACAATTATCTACATATATTTTATAAACCATCCGTAGGAATAAAATTTTCCAACGTTGTGTAAGGAACATTCAACGTTTATTAGCCTTACGTATTTATTACGGATGATTTATAGACCTGGAGAAAGAAACACAATTTCAGGTTAGAAGGAAGCAACTAACCCATTGTGTTCTGAAAGATAAAACTCATTATTTATCAAGTTTTGAGGCTAGATTTTTTATATAGGCTTTGACGAGACAATATATAGATTTTGGCTAAATATTATATATATATGTTAAATTATAAAACATTTTAACCATAAAACTCAGGTTCTGCATTATAAAACAAAATCAGGTTATTCTTTATAAAAATTGGCCTTAGAATAGTTATACATTAAAAATCTCAATTAATTATATAGAGTTGAACACGTGATTAAATGTAGAAAATTGTGCATGTAGAGTTCCGTGTAATTGATCGATTGTTTGTAGAGAATTCCTGGTTGAACACACTGAGTAACGTCTTGTCGCTGAACACCCTGAACACACATTAGTTTATAAAGATCCTCAGATCTTACACCTTCCTACGCATAATATACTGATAAGGATAAAATGTGCATTGTTGAAATAATTACACAACGGACCCGAAATAAATGTAGTCTAACCACTGGTCAAATAAAAAATTAAAAAATGATTTTTAAATAAAAACTTTTTTAAGACGCTGTTCACCCTTCTTTCCAGCATCAAGGCCTAGAGCGTAAACAAGATAACGATGAGAGGTAGGAGAGAAATGTTGACAATTTTTTTTAGAAAATAAGTTTCTTAAAGAAAGAAAAGATATTCCTGGAAAACAAAATATTATTAATAAAATAATAGGTTTATTAATGGAAATTCATAAACGAGTTTAAATAATCTTATTTTATTCTGTAGTTTCATAATTTTCCATAATTTGATAATTATTCTAAACAAATCCTGTTTAATGTTTTGTTTTTAGTTTCTCTGGTTTCCAATCGGAGTTTACTCCTGTTCCTGCTCCTAGTTACTCATCCAACCTTCTCCCCTTCTCTGGAACCCTGGCACCAGGATACTCATCCGGATACCAATCCTCCGCCTCACAAGGATATTCTTCCGCTCCCCCAGGATCCGGAAACAATACCGGCTATGCCGCAGATTTTTTCTCCTTGGCGGGTCGGCGGGTTTCTAACCTGGAGTCGAATGATTCCTATTTGGCGGATATTCAGGGAAAATATACATATTTTTATCTGATAGAAGTGTCAGAGTGATTAAGCATATTTTTGGTTTATTCTTGCAAATATTATATGTATATTGTTTATGCAGGGTAAAATTCATTCAATACAGAATAAGCAAATCCTTCTGGAATTCAACCTTCCAGGTTCAGGAGAGAAGGCTCTCGCCAAACTTATCCCAGGTTTTATATTTTAAAGTGAATGATCATAAAAAGTAAGAGAAATTGGATTTCTACTTTATAGAAAGTTTTAATTATTACAGAAGCATTCTATATTGTATTACTAATCTGTTCACAATTTAATTATGGTTTAAGCCCTCTAAATTTTCTTTTGTCACACAACGTTTTCGTTCAAAAAAGTTTTAACGCATAATCTTCACTGGAAGAGTTTTCTAGATTCAAAGCACCTGTTGGTCGATGTGTTTTGTTCTAGAATTCTTTCTAGAACTATGTGTTACCTAATGGGTCTGTAAGCGTAATTTCAAGTGACCCTCCATGGAAAGAGGAGAATGCCTGATTTGATCTTTGACTGATCATCGAGGGTAGAGAACTCCGTGTTTTTATCCTTGAAATTCTTTTTAAATTGCCCTAAAACGAGAGTCTACGCTAGATTACAGAGTAAATCAACATCTGTCATCCTTGATCAGTCAAAGTTTTAAAGAGTACTGTTGTGAATCAGTCATGCCCCTCTACAAATGGAGGGTAACTTGAAATTACGCCTACAGTCCCTTTCAGACGAAAACCTTTTTATTTCAAAGACGTTTATCATATGACTATTGCCATTCCTTATTTTTGTACTGTGTGAGTGCGCTTACAGATGCAAGATTTGATAGAGATTGATCAAATGATAAAATTTAAATTGTTACGTTATTTGTTCAAAAATTCGTCATCTAAATTTGAAAAAGCGGCGAGTGTCAAGATAATTAATTTAAAAATGAAAAATATTAACATTTTTGTCATAATCAGAAAGACCCTGAATTAATTGAAAGTTATGAGGCGTCTTTACTTATTTATCTGTGGCAATTTTAAATGCTCAATAAAGGCAGACCACATTTTGGAAATGGCAAGACTAGGGCTTTTTGTGATTATCAATTCATCAATCATTATTGTAAAATTAGATCGGGAAGTCGTCTAATTAATTGCAAATTGATTCATGGTCTCTCTGATAAGAACTGTATTGAAAGTGGTTTTTTTTGCTTTTCCAAAAAATTCAATAATGGAAACTCTTTCGCTTCTGTTTTTATTATTGTTGAGGTTTGTTTACAGTTTTGGAATATCTAGAGAAAATTTGTTTAGTGTTAGGTTCAAAATGGGGAAAATCATTTTCTAGTTGAATGGGGCAACGGCTCTACCACTTTGATAAGTGTGGGGAGGAGCTCTGTTTGTCCCATTCCTCCTTATATACGCCCTTTCTTTGTTTGTTAATACCACAGTTTTTTCTAGGTCAAATGTATTTGAACGGGAAACAATGCCTCGGATTCTCCATCAAGTCCAACACCTACCATTTGTGGCCAAACTTTGTCAAGGATTTTCTACAGATTGGGAAGGAGGTTTGTACTGTACGTTATAGACCATTTTGTGTAGCTCTCTTTTTTTATTTCCAGTCCTGGTGAAATATTTCATAAGCCTTCGTTTGTATGAAATTTTTTTTTATGCAAAATATAAACTCGTTGAAAGAAATATTGTTATTAGTGCATGGTAAAGATATTACTCCTATAAAAATAAAATCAAAGTTTCACTGTAACTAGTTTTGACTTTTTTGATACTTTTTCCTCGTGCGAAAGTTAAATTCATCAACAAAAAAACTTTAAAATAAAAAAATATATAACTAAAATTATCAATAACATTAAACTGATGGAAATAATTTTTAGGAGGAAAATTTATTTTACGTTTCAATGTTGGTTTAGTCAAATAGTCACTGTTATTTGGTATAAAAAAGGTTTTTGGTCTGAATGAACAATTGAACAAACAATTGTAGGTTTGGATGGATTTGAAAAATAGAAAATGCAGGTTTGGATGGATTTGAAAAATAAAATATGTAGGTTGAATGGATTTGAAAAATAGATAATATTGGCTGGATGGATTTGAAAAGAAATAAAAAAAATGTAGGTTTGAGTGAATTTGAAAAATATTAAAAATTGTATTTTTGGATGAATTTCTAAAATGAAATATATTGTAGGTTTCGATGGATTTGTAAAATAGATAATATTGTAGGTTTGGATGGATTTGTAAAATAGATAATATTTTAGGGTTGTATTAATTTGAAAAATAGATAATACTGTAGGTTGGGATGGATTTAAAAATAAACAATATTGTATTTCAGAATGATCTTGAAAAATTGACAATTTTGTAGGGTTGGATGGATTTGAAAAATGAACGATTTTGTATGGTTGGATGGATTTGAAAAGTGAAAAGTATTGTAGGTTGGGATGGATTTGAAAAATGAACAATATTGTACGTTTTGGATGGATTTGAAAAGTAGATAATTATTTGGGTTTGAATAGTCTTGAAAAATTATAAATATTGTAGGTTGGGATGGATTTGAAAAGTGGATACAGTAATAAGAAGAAAGACCCGGAATTAATTGACAGTTGTTTTAAATCAGATTGTAAAGTCGTCCGATTAATTACAAACTAATTCCGGATCTTTCTGATTAGGACTGTACTATTTTAGGTTTGCATGGATTTGAAGAATTAGCAATATTGTACTTTTGGAAGGATTTAAAAAATGATAATATAGGTTTGGATGGATTTGAAAAGTTAACAATATTGTAGGTTTGGATGAATTTGAAAAATAAACAGTATTTTACGATTGGATGGATTTGAAGTTAATAATATTGTAGGTTTGGATGGATTTGAAAAATTAACAATATTGTAAGTTTGGATGAATTTGAAAAATTAACAATTGTAGGTTTGGATGGATTTGAAAAATTAACAATATTGTAGGTTTGGATGGATTTGAAAAATATAAATACTGTAGGTTTGGATGAATTTAAAAAATTTTAATATTGTAGGGTTGGATGGATTTGAAAAATTAGCAATATTGTAGGTCTGGATGGATTTGAAAAATTGACAATATTGTAGGTTTGGATGGATTTGAAAAAGCTGTCCACCAAGGAAATGCACGACTCAAAGGACAGGGAGCGTGCCATTCACTGGACATGTCCATTCGTTCGACTTCCAGGTATCTATTTATATAAAGTATGTTTGTCTTCTGTTTGTATGTTTGAATGTATCTTTAAGAAACATTCTGTATAGAGTGTAGCAATGATTTGCTTTGACAAAGTTCCAAATATTAGTTAAATAATCAGCCTTTGTCTAGGTTCAAGATTGAGCGAGAAAGATTTGACCATCACTCGTCAAACTCAGAGCTCAGTGATCACTACTGCAGTACTCAGACGGGTTTACTCAGGGTGGGGGCTTCTCCGCTCCAAGGATCAGAATATCATATTCAAGAATGAAAACCTGTTCCATGAGACTGCTCCACTAACAGCTGAATCCAACCTGACAACTCTGGATCTTGAGATCGGAGACACCCTGGCGGTCCATGTCGAGGAGAACCAGGAGAAGATCAAGGAGCTCGTGAGTAGTATCCCAGAATATGAAAAGAACCAGGACTTGAAAGGTTTGTGAAAAACTGATTTTATAAATCATGAAAATATGATTATTATTGTTACGATTGCCAATTTGCCATCGACTTCCAGCTTCGATTAAAATTAAGTTCATTGAAAAGACTATTTGAAACATTTTAAATAGTTTTGAATCTTGAGTAAAGCTAAAGTAAAATTAATATTTATCTAGACATAAAACTGTTTGCTAAGCTGGTGTGGCATGTAACCGGAGAAGTTGATCCATGGGTCTACTTTAACCCAGACCCGGAGCAGAAGATTCTCTTCCTAACTTCGAGTTCAACTCTTAATAGGTAGATTTTCACAGTGGTAAATAAGGGGTTTTAACGTGACCCTTTGTTGAAATCAAAGATTCGCAGTAGTACCCTTCAATCTATTTTTCATTTCCCAGCAGCAGCCTTTAGATTTTGGACTATAGATAGCGTAGAACTCGGTTCATTGCAATCTTATCTTCTTGATAGTTCATTTAAATGCAATTTTTGAACAGGAACTTTCCTGAAACTTAAAAATTATGACTCACTAAATATAAAATAGTCTCCTTGTTTTTAATGATAATTTTTCACGAGAATTTTTCTGTTAACTGCTCTTCAAGATTTTATGAAACAATTCTTGTCGAAATACTTCATACAAAACAATTGTGTGTAATATCCAAGTGTGGATCATATTGATGATATTCAGCTAATAAATGTTCCAGGTTCAAAAATGTTGTATTTTAAATCTTTTAACACTGCACTAAGTCGGGTTCGGATTCCTTTGATTCTTTTCATGCTTTTCTATTGATGAATCCTTCTACTTAACAATCAGGTTAAGCCGAGGCGACGAAGCGCTATCACAACCAAAAGTTTTAGCTTGAGTGTTAATAATATTACTATTTTAGACCTCTACCTGGAGAGAAGGAAGCTGAGCTGACGAATATTTGCGGTACTGTGGAGGAGATACATCTTCCTGCAGGAGGGATTATTACTATCAATGTAAGATTTTTAACATTTAACCAAACTCTTGACAGATTCTCCACAATTTTTCAAATTTACTTTAATGATGGAATGTATGTTTCTAATTGCGGTCCAGATGGGGTAGCTTTCGGATCTTGTTTCTTACTTGTTTCTTAAGATTTACGAATACCATAATTATAAATTGATTAAAATGAGGTTTTTGTCAAGAGATCGTGAATTAGAAATCGTCTACAATTTAAAAATGCTTATTTACGCCATCTGTTGCCCTTGAATTATACTTTTCATTTTTCAGAAGATAAATAACAAAATGGTGTAGTCTGTTTTTTTTAGGCCTGACATAACCCTGTATTTCAAAAGTTTTACAAATCACCTTTTTTAAGAGTTTAATATCTATTTAGGATGATAAGATTAGAGAATTAAATCTCCCACTTCAAACACAGCATCAGCGGAAAGTTTATTTCCACAGGTCTATTTCCTTTACTTTTTAAGTATTCTTGGGAGAAAAGAAACCATTTTAATTTTTTAAATCTTATCATAGAGTTGAATATATTATTGTTTACAATCTAGTAAAAGCATAATATTCTTTTGTTTAAAAAATCAATATAAATATATCAATGCTTTAATTTTGTGTCTAGATCCCGCATACATCTAAACGGAACAAAAATCCAAACTGATCAAAGTTTGGATACAGAACTAATGCCGGGAGATGAGGTAAGTTTTCATGGGTTTTATCGAATTATGAATAAAACTATCAGTTTGTTGTTTTTTCATTGATATTATGAAATTGTGATCTAAAAATATTAGTTTGTATTTGATTCTTTTTATAGATTTTGTTGAATTGTGATCTATATATATATATCTGTTTCTTGATAAATCTTCACATAGATTTCATTATATTCTGATCTATATGTATCTGTTGCTTGATGAGCCTTTTCATGAATTTCATTGAGTTGTGATCTAAATAATCTGTTTGTTGTTGAATCTTTTCATGGGTTTTATTGAATTGGTATCTAAAATAATCAGTTTGTTTTTTAAATCTTTTCATGGGTTTTATTGAATTGGTATCTAAAATAATCAGTTTGTTTTGGGTTTTATTGAATTGGTATCTAAAATAATCAGTTTGTTTTTTAAATCTTTTCATGGGTTTTATTGAATTGGTATCTAAAATAATCAGTTTGTTGTTGAATCTTTTCATGGATTTTATTGAATTGGTATCTAAAATAATCAGTTTGTTGTCTTTTCATGGATTTTATTAAATTGTGATCTAAATAAATCAGTTTGTTGTCGTTTAGGTTTCCATTGATATTGTGCGGAACTCCCCCTACCCTTCCGACCCGCCCTACGTCATGTCCGCGGCATTCTGGGTAGCAGTCGCAGTAAGGGCCAACACAGTGGTCAGGGGGGTCCAGATCGCTAATAGACTCAGGAAAGAGGTGAACATTTTAGATTAGCAAACCGCCTCCATCCCGCAATTAACTCACAAACATAGAGTGGCGGCACTGCGCTTACCCGTATTGCTTCCTAGCCGCACCCATATATCCTCTGACAAAATGGCCTTTTACTTTTAAATGCTTAAAATAAATGTTTTGCACATACTTGCTGATGTTAAACTTTTGTAAAAATCTTTTATCAGAAATAACGCAGTTTTGCTCGCGATTTGGTAAAAAATTATCTAAAATCAGATAGATAGAAAAAAAAAGATATGAGATTTAGATAATTTTAAACCGAATTCCACGCAAATCTGCGTTATTTCTGGTAAAGATTGAATTTCTATTATTATTTTCCAGGCATCTGTTGGATGTGAGGAGGGTATAGAGCGTGCCCGTGTTGTTTATCTCGCTCCTCCTGCAGATCCTCTTTCCCCGGTGGTCAGTGGGACCGCGGTCATTGACACAGGGGAGTTCCTCGGTCAGCGAGTAGAGTTTGATAGATCTGTTTGCTCTGCTTACAGTTTCTCATTGGCTAAAGCGGATCTTTCTCATATAATTCAACGAGGTTGGTCAAATTATATATTTTCCAGGAATAAATATGACATGTAAATAATGAAATCATTACAAATCGTAAACCTCAGTTCATTCATATTGGGATAGGACCTTCCTTAAAGTCTGATTTGATTTGATTTGATTTGATTTGATTTGAAATTATCTTTGATTAAACATTTGATATGCACGCAATTATTTTTTTTAAATCTTTCATAACGAAATATTTGTTAATTTAGATGAAGCTGTTTTTGTAAAACTAAAACCATATAACTCCTACTGTGTTGCCAAACTCTGGTTGGGATTCTCAACTGGATCAAGGAAGGAAGGGAGTCTGGATCCTCATCAGATTGGGTTAATGAAAGAGGTAAACTAGGGATCAAGAAACGGAGGAATTATGGATTTTTAATAATTTGGATTAAGGAAAAAGTTGTAGGTTACGGATCAAGGTAGCTTTAATTCTCATCGGATTGGATTAATGAAAAATGGATCAAGGGAGGGATCTTTGACATTCATATTGTTATGTTATGTTGGAGGGCAAGGAAGGGTGCCTTGAGCCTCGTCAGATTCAGATCGGATTATTGGAAGAGGCAAGGATCAAGGATCAAAGGGATTATTGATTTTATAGAATTTGAGAATGGATTAAGGTAACATATATAGGTAATGGATCAAGGGAGGCAGTTTTAATGCTCGTCAGATTGGATTGATGAAAGAGGTAGGCTAGGGATCCTAGGGATCATCCATCCTCCTTAGATTGCATTGATGACAACAAAGATAAGCTATGGATCAAGGGAGGGAGCTTTAAACTTGTATCGGATTGATGAGAGATTACGGATATGGATTATTCATCCTCATCTGATTGGGATTGATGACGAAGCGAATCTATGGATTAAAGGAGCTATTGGATTAATGAGAGAGGCATGTAAGGGACCAGAAATGGATAAGAAATTTAGATTGGGATAGGTGGAACATAAATTGAATAGAAAGTGAAATAAATTGCGAATTGTTTACAAGAAAAAGTATTTTAATAATCACATGGTTTCATTTTAATATTTGTATTTTGTTTTAGAGTAAGGATTATACGCTTATGTAAAGAAAGTATAAAGTTAACTTATTGTTTATATTGTGTGGTAAGTGGTGACAGCAATCTTAAGATACTTGATTTGATAGGAACTGACGTAAGGTTTTTTCAGGGATGTTAAAATTCTTGAATAAAAATAAAGATAATTATTAACAAAGTTTCTTTTTCATTGTTATTATATTTTTGGAAATATTATTTTTTTACAAAGCCTTACAGTCTTGCAATACAGATTGTAAAATTTTCTTTTATTTTGCTCAATTTATCCAAATTTAATTTAATTTTAATTTATTTTATATTATTTTTTTTGTCATTTTATTTATTTATTTTATTTATTTTAGGATCTGGAAAAGAAAGGAATAAGTCAGGCTGGTTTTGATGTTCTAGTCAAGGGGCAGTTTTCCCCCAGGTATTATTTTTAGAGGCCTTTACACCATACAACAGTGGATATTAATATATGCTAGCTGAAGTGCCCGGCGTTGCCCGTTGAATTTTGAAAACACTTCGAGAAAACAAATTAGAATTTTGAAGAAGAATGTTAATTGTTAAAATAAAAAAATTGATTTGTTTATCCATGGGTACCCAAAGGTATCCATGGGTTCCCTTTTTGGACCGCTAAAGCTAACAAATATGTATATTTATCGAATAGATTTATTATATTGATTTTTTATATTTATTCTTTCATATAATTTTATAATTTTCATTATAATTTTTATCTTAGGCAATTCCTACCGTTATCTCGTCAGAGTATCCCTGGGCAAGTAGTTTCTTTACACGAGAAGGATGATATTGCCACCAGGTAACTAGAGTATAGGATAGTATTGCCACCAGGTAACTAGAGTATAGGACAATATTGCCACCACTGTCAGGTAACTAGAGTATAGGATAGTATTGCCACCAGTTAACTAGAGTATAGGATAATATTGCCACCGGGTAACTAGAGTATAGGATAATATTGCCAACAGATAACTAAAGTATAGGATAGTATTGCCACCAGGTAACTAGAGTATAGGATAATATTGCCACCAGGTAACTAGAGTATAGGATAATATTGCCACCAGATAACTAGAGTATATGATAGTATTGCCACCAGGTAACTAGAGTATAGGATAGTATTGCCACCAGGTATATAGAGTATAGGATAGTATTGCCACCAGGTAACTAGAGTATAGGATAGTATTACCACCAGGTAACTAGAGTATAGGATAGTATTACCACCAGGGAACTAGAGTATAGGATAGTATTACCACCAGGTAACTAAGAGTATAGGATAATATTGCCACCAGGTAACTAGAGTATAGGATAGTATTACCACCAGGTAACTAGAGTTTAGGATAATATTGCCACCAGGTATATAGAGTATAGGATAGTATTGCCACCAGGTAACTAGAGTATAGGATAATATTACCACCAGGTAACTGGAGTATAGGATAATATTGCCACCAGGTAACTAGAGTACAAGATGTTCAGTTTTAAATACAGGGTTTCCCACAGAGAATGAGCTTTTAATGACGACCTAAAACTCTTAAAATATTTTATGTTTTTGATCTATAACTAAAATTTATGTGTTCGGAAACTATCTTTATTTCAGTGTAACCATCAAGAGTGATTCTGGTGACGTCATATCCGCGGATAGGGATAAAATATACGCTCATGGACATTGGTTGGGTCGCGCAGATCTAGCATATTGTATGCAAGCAGGTCAGCTTGTAGATTCAACCTTATATTCGTTTTTATTTCTAAGCTCTGGTGCTCTCCTCGGTTCCTTTTAAATCAGCTGACGGTCATGGGTTCTCTAAGTAGGTTGGGGGGTAGGGCAGATTTTTCATTTTATCTTAACTTATATCTAACAATTATTTTGATGTTTTTCATCTTAAATGGAGCCAGTTTCTTATCAGTCTTTTCTCTTGAAATCGTCTAATGACTGCCCAGACAATTAAAGTCAGATTTTAAAATGGAAGCTATTTACATTATTGATACTCAGTGAAATAGAACATTGATAAATGTTGAAATGTTCTTAAAAAATACCTAGTCACTAAAATCTATTCATATATTACGTAAAAAGAGTTTATCTTGATTAAACAGGCATCTGGGTATTGTAGGCTTTGATTCTTATAAAACTTCAGATTTGATAATCATTATCAGTAAATTAATTTTATATTTATATGTTGTCTAGTAGTACGGTTTGTACTTGATACCAGAATAAAAATATTAGCATAATGATGAGTCAAGCTTTAAATCTTGCACTTTACAAATATCAGCATCTGAAGTCAGGTTGAGATATCCAAGGTTTAGTCAGTAATATAATTTTATATATTATAGTATTATATTGAGTATGAGATATCTTTAAGTTTTAGTCAAGATTATCAGTAATATAACTATATATTATAGATAGGGTTGAGTATTAGATATCTTCAAGCTTTAGTCAGGATAATCAGTAATATAATTTTATATATTATAGAGAGGGTTGAATATGAGATATCTCCAAGGTATAGTCAGGATGATCAGTAATATAATTTTATATATTATAGAGAGGGTTGAGTACGAGATATCTCCAGGGTATAGTCAGGATAATCATTAATATAATTTATATATGATAGAGAGGGTTGAGTATGAGATATCTCCAAGGTATAGTCAGGATGATCAGTAATATAATTTTATATATTATAGATAGGGTTGAGTATGAGATATTTCCAAGGTATAGTCAGGATGATCAGTAATATAATTTTATATATTATAGATAGGGTTGAGTATAAGATATCTCCAAGGTATAATCAGGATGATCAGTAATATAATTTTATATATTATAGAGAGGGTTGAATATGAAATATCTCCACGGTATAGTGAAGATGACCCGGAGTACGCCTGCTTGGTATGGATTGGAGAAAGACCAAAATATATAGGAATATATCATTGAAATTTGAAATCTTGAATTTTTAGCTTGGCTTTTCTCCATTTTATTTACGCTTCCCAAATTGATTGCTTTTTCTTTTATCAGGGCTATATGAGGTTTAAAATAATTTAATCTAAATCATCCAGATACACACTAAACAACTTTTAATAGAATAGACGGTTTTAGTATGTTTTTAAAGTCGTATTAACTGTTCCCAACATTGTTTTGCAACTGAGTTTTAGCATTTTAAAAGAAAAGTACAACGAGTTTCAAAAAACGTGAGCTAATTTTGATAATGTTTCATTGATATCTTGTCGTCTGCAGGGATGTCTACATTCCCCCATATAACCACGGAGTCAAGTAAACACTTGAAATATTGGTTGGCAAAGAAGGATTTAGATCTTCACTCATTCAAGGCGCTGGTAATTTTTCTATGAAATTATTAATCAAAAATAATGATTTCTACTTTTTTATAGTCCTCGATCTAATTATAATTCTCTAATAGATTGACGGATTACTTTTATTCTTTAATTTGACTAGATTGACGGAATGCTCCGATAAATCCTGATATTTGAATAAATTGGCGGAATTCTCCGATTAATTCTGATATTTGAATAGATGAACGGAATTCTCCCTTTAATCCTGATATTTGAATAGATGAACGGAATTCTCCCTTTAATCTTGATATTTAAATAGATCGACGGAATTCTCTTTAATCCTGATATTTGAATAGATTGACGGAATTCTCCCATTAATTCTAATATTTGAATAGATTGGCAGAATTCTCCCTTTAATCTTGATATTTGAATAGATTGACGGAATGCTCCGATTAATCCTGATATTTGAATAGATTGACGGAATTCTCCCTTTAATCTTGATATTTGAATAGATTGGCGGAATTCTCCCATTAATTCTGATATTTGAATAGATTGACGGAATTCTCCCTTTAATCCTGATATTTGAATAGATTGACGGAATTCTCCCATTAATCTTGATATTTGAATAGATTGACGGAAATCTCTTTAATCCTGATATTTGAATAGATGAACGGAATTCTCTTTAATCCTGATATTTAAATAGATTGACAGAATTCTCCCTTTAATCTTGATATTTGAATAGATTGACGGAATTCTCCGATTAATCCTGATATTTGAATAGATTGACGGAATGCTCCGATTAATCCTGATATTTGATTAGATTGACGGAATTCTCCAATTAATCCTGATATTTGATTAGATTGACGGAATGCTCCCGTCTAAGAAGAAAACGGAGAGTGCTGCAGGAATTAAAAAATCTCAGGATGATCTCTCATTAGATCCGGATACTCTGGCACAGGTAAGGGATGGTTGGACCAATTAAATATATGGTGTTTCTAGCAATAATGGAATAGTCGCTATCAAAACGTCAATATAAATTGCGGTTTTCTGTTTGTGTGTATCCAATAAACGTTAAAAACGCATTCACTGATCGGGTTCAATTTTTTGTGGAAACTAACATAATCCCAGTGAAGGTTCATGGATGATTTGCCTTTAAAAATTTTTGATTCTTCAAAAAGCACCAATTTAAAGTTAAAATTGAAGATGGGCGTGAAGCGCCCTGGAACTTGAAAGCCTATAATTGTACTTATTTAACGTATATTTGTGTTTAGGCTGCTCTGCTGCAGAAGATGAAGAACCAGCTTGGAACAGACAAGGTGATGAACCTGTTGATGAATATGCTCAACTCTGGAACAGATACACCAGGTTCCAGTTCTACTTCTGCTCCTCAGGTATTTAATATTCATTTTATTTGTATTGCTTTTTTCACGATAATTTCTACAGAATGAGAGTTGACTGGCTTTGATTTTATTATTATTATTTGTTTCTTTACCATTATCATTATTCGTATTATCTTTCATTATTCAACAATATCTTAAGTTAATAATTTAAAATCCTTAAATCTTTAATTATACAACAATGGGGAAGATAACGTAATTGTTTTGTTTGTTAAAAAGTGATGAATTCTGTGAATAACGTCTTTTCAATCTTATTGCTCAGATGAAGGTATAATAGGTACCGTTGTAACAATGATACGTTAACTGTTCATTGAAGTTGAAAACTTTTTAAAATAAAATACCTGTTTCATGGGGAAATATTTTCAATCAAAATAATTTCAGCTATAAATAAACAAATTGCAAATATTTCATATTTAACATTTTAGGAGCTTTAAATAGACAAAATACAAATATGTCATATTTAACATGTTTAGGATTCCATCTCAAAGATGAATCAGGAGTTCGTTGCTTCGTCCTCGTCAAAAAGGTAAAATAAACATATTTTAAATGAGTATTTTAGGTAATAAATAAATCTAATAAATTAGCAGCAACTGTTATTATGTGTATGTTATGCAAATTAGGGTTTCCTTAAGAGACAATAGATGGGTCAATTTGCACAACAAATTGACCGTCAAGATTTCAGAAGATATTGCAAGTTAATTTTTCCGAAATGTATGATATAAAAGAACTATAAAACAACATGAATGGACAGAGTGAAGTTTAAAAATTACAACAAAAAAAGGATTTACGGAATGAGGTGTTCTACCACAGAAAACGATTTAGATTGGCTAAATTTTTAGTTGAAATTCATTCTTATTAAATAATTAAGTTAATTCTATAAAATTATTTGCAGGGAACCGGATGCTTACTACTCTTCACAATCCACAACTGCTTCCTACAGCAGTAGTCCTAAGGACGCAAATACAGCAGCATTCGATAGAAACCAGTTCTCAGCTCCTATAGTAGGACAACCACATATTAAAGCTGCCCCTCAGCCGCCGCAACAGCAGCAAGAATATCCAGGTCAGCAGCAGCAGCAGTATGGATACAATCAACAGCTTCAAGGATACTCCCAACCTGGATATAATCAGCAACCTGGTGGATACATGCAGCAGGGATACAATCAACAACCTGGATACACTCAGCAGCAGCAGGTTGGATATCCCCAGCAAGGATATATGCAAACCCAGCAGCAGGCTGCAGCTCCGGTTTACAACTCCGGGTACAATGATCAGCAGATGATGAACCAGCAGTACAGTGGGTTCGGATACCAGCAGTCCCGCACTACAGGACTGTTAGGACCTCCTCCTGGACCCCCTCCACCTCCTGGCATCCCTTCATTGATGTCTACTCCAGGGTATCCTGGAGCTCAGGGAGGGGTTAGACCAGTCAACAACAGGGTTGTTAACCAGCAACAGCAAGGATTCCAACCAATCTACTCTCCATATCAACCGCAACAGCAGTATAGGCAACAACGTTGAAAACAGTCTTATCATGAATTTCAGTTTTCTCACTAAACTTGTGATTGAATTTTAGCATATTTTTTCAGTTTTTTTAGTACCCATGTATCATAATTTGAATAAATGTCGAGCTTAATGTTTTAAATCTGTTTTTACTTATTCTACCTCAGCTTTGCACAATTCAGAATTTTTGGTTTAGATCTAACTCTAACTTTTTTTAGTCTCCATTTTGAAGCAGTTAAATGTCTTATATTCATGTTTCAGACGATTATTATTACACATGTTTATTAAAACTTGTCTCTTTCTTTTCCTCATAATTAATCATTAGAGAAATTGAAAAAAGTATGTAAATTTATATTAATATAGTATAAATAATAACAATAATGGAATTAGATCGGATAGTAGGATTCAGGACGAAGTAGCTCCTGACCATTTATCCCATGAACAGAAACAGTTCTAGGTTTCACCATTACTCCGTGTCCGTCCTTACACTGGAAATATCTTCGTCCTTCAACCTCTCCGTTGTGCTTTCCTGAAACAACAAAATATTTTTTTTACTTTCTTTGATTTTGTTAATTATGCAGAACTTTTAGACATTGCGGATTCAATTTTTGATCTTACTTTAATGATCATTTAAAGGGACTGTAGTGTGTAGACGTGATATCATGTGATCCTCCATTTGTATTGGCATGGAGTGAACGCTCAATTTTCAGCATTAAAAATGAGGAATTCTCTGTCATTGATCATCAGAGAATGTGTTAAACTCCGTAAATGGAGTGTGCATTAATACAGAGAGCCTGACTTAGAGGTAAACGCATCAAATTTAAGACCGGGTTGACTTTGAAATATCGCAACATCATTTTCACATTAATTAACTGATCATTTTTGTAGTATCTTTTGGGTATGTAAATTTAAAACTTCTATCTCGATTGTTTCTTGCTTCAGTTGAAAAGAAGCAATTGGCAAAATCCTGGATTGTGTAAGCGTGAATAATTTAATGACTTATGTTATGATTGGGCAAAGATAGAAATAAGTTTACAGCTGAAGGGAATCATAAATAAAATGTAGCAGACATTAAAATTGCAGTTCAATTATCTCAGATCCTTTGAGTCGTTCTTTATTGCTATTGATAGTTTGAACTTTGTCGTACGCGCAATACGAAAATGTTGAATTTAAGAACTCATTACAGACCTTTCGTGTTCCATCTGTGTAAAAAAAAAACTAATTTACATATTTTTAACCAACAAGAGTGTGTCTCGGATCTTTTGCACTTTGGGAGAATGATTTGTTAAAAAAAGATTAACATTAATATTAAATCATCTTCTGTTCTACAAAGACAACAGAGGCCTAAAAAGTTTTGTAATTCTGACTAAAAGGTTATTATTTACTAATTACCACGTGGATTTCTTAGTTCCAGTCCGAGCCAGATTCCAGGAGCAAAATCTGTATGTCCGACATACTTGACCGTTGCCATCTCCTTGTTGTGTATGACCATGACCCCCTGCCCGATGTCGAGGAACCGCTTGTCGACCTTCCTCTGGAACTTATTGTATACAGGACCAGGTCCAGTTTGGAACTCAGGACCTGAGGGTTCACTGCTCCGACGGACGGACATACTTCTAAAATATAAATTAAATGATAAAAGTTTTTTCGAATTTTGATAAAAGTAATAAACCCTGTAGCGGCTGGACTATTTTTGTAAAATACAGGAGTGAGGGGGGGGGGGTTGTCCTTACTTTTGCCTTTATAACACGTCAATATAGGGGAAAACAACGTAATGTTTTAAGAACCTCCAACTTGGTTAAGTTGCTATTTAGAGAGTTGTAAAAAATATGTTGAGATTTTTTTTAGTAGGTCAGGTTTTTGACTATTTTTGTATTTTAATAATCACCCACCCTTCTGAAAAGGTATCATTTCCTGCCGTAAGTAATAAAAAAAATTGTGGGATGAGTCCAGGGGTTTAGGCATTTTTAAATTTTTTAATCGAGGGCTGTTCTAGAGTTTAGTTTTCAATTTAGTCAAAAGATTGGTCGGTCACTCACAACATCCGAAATATCTGAGAACTTTTGAAGTAACTGAAATACTGCTACAGGGTTATGCTTAAAAAGCCCTAATTGAAGTTTACCAAAGAAAAACAATTGGACTAATGTACTGGAATGTTTTTAAAATATCGTAAGTAATCGTTTAGCATATTTGAAAGCTAAGTAGAAAAAAGAGATTATTTTACTTCATATGTGTTGAGTTGTTAAGAGGGTTGAGGGTAGAAGAGAACTGAAACCCGAAACTCAAGGTGTAAAGATTATGCACAGGCAGGTTGTATGGGTACCTGGAGCATACATCCAAGCTAACATATTATGGGAGGGGGGGAAATGAGGTTGTTTTCTGTAGTTGAGGGAGCATTTATCAGTTTTAAAGAAAAACAGAAACCAACTGAGAATTAGAATCTGATATCTGCAATTCTTTAGTTTCATTTATTCACTCTGAGTTCTTGCTTATAAACTTACTGATGGGCACACCCCTATGTTTCCTAGGGTGGGAAGATGAATACATGAATATTTTGCACACATGCTACCAAATACATGGAAAGTGGTTTATGACTCATATTCTTGAGAAAAAGCAGGGAGTGAACGGTATACGTGAAACTGCTGGACAAAGAGGATAAAAATTTATGGGTTAGCAACAGAGCTAGAAAAATGAAGTTTCTTTCACAATATTGATGAGATTAAGGTTTCAAGGATACCGTTGTTAACCTGGTATGTCCAGATCTTCAGAAAACAAGGCGAGGAATGAAATGTATTTAAAAATAATGACGTTAGCAAAATCTGTTTTTTTATAGGAAGGAACTAGGTTTGGGATAAATGTCAAAAACTATATTTTCTTCAATACAACAATAATGGAGAAATCTATTAAGTCCTTTGCTTTTATAAGGTTATTATATTAATATTAATATCATTAGGATGAATGATATTAATATGTTTGTAAATCATTCCTAGCTCAGCGCCCTCACCTGGAGAAGTTTGAGATACTAAGTGTCTGGTTCAATCCCGGAGATTGGTTGCTCCCGGAGTTCTTCGTCTCATGATGTCGAAGAGATAAGGATCTCCGAACCCGTCCCGGAGGAGGAGCACTGGTTGTACTTCTCCGGTGAACCAGAGAATTATTATTGGAAACCTTAAAAAATAAAATAAAAATATAAATCTTTTCTATAATATAACTTTGTAAATTAAATTCAAAAGGAAATCATTTATTGATTGAAAACTCATCAAACAAACTTTCATGATTGCTAATATTGTGATAATATCTAGTTCTTTAACGTTTGGAAGTTCATGAAGTAAATAGAGTACAGGGTGTCCCGATAAACATGGGAATTAAGAGACGACTTTTAAATCGAGTCTTCAATCCATGTGGCATTTTTTCATGAACAATTGCAGTATTCCTGTTTACACATATAATTTCAAAAACGCCTGGTCTTGAGATTTCAAAATGAGGTCTACCTTTTTGCATATATCTTCAAAATTGGCGGGGATATTGCAAAAATTCGTACGATTATAAATTTATTTAATAAATCAAAATCGTTACAACTTAAATAGACACGAGAAAAGTAGCCTCATTTTTATACTTTCCTTGCCATGCATTTAATGTCAGAAATCAAAGACGACTTTCAAGTATAGATATAGTGAACTTTAAAAAAATGTAGAGTTGAGACTTCTAGCAGAAAATTTTAGCAAAAATTATTTATCACAGGTGTACAATGTACATGGAATAAATTGAGTTTATGGAGTAAAAGAGTTGCTTGGAGTAAATGAAGTTCGTAAAGTAAACGGAGTAATTATGGAGTACATGGAGTTAAAGGATTACATGAAGTAAGTGGACTAAATGAAGTTAATTAATATAGTTGTAAATTAAGTAACTGGAGTACATGGAGTACACTCTGATCCTGACCTGTGATTCACAGACGCTGACGTCACAGCTCTCCTCGTAATTATCTTCGGCGTCTAGCTTCGACAGTTTCTTCTTTGTAACGAACACACCGCGGTCCTTTCCAGCAGCAAAATATCTAGAAAAATAATTCTAAATTTATTAAAAACTTTTAAGAATTAAATACTTTTTAAGTTTAAAATTGAGAATATCTCCCACATTAAAGTTCAGATAAAAATGTAAAGAGAATACCGTTGTGAATAGGGATATGCCCTCTTTTTAAAGTGGAGGACTGGAGATTACAACGATAATCCGTATCGTTAATTTGTTTTGTAATATCAGAAAAGAAAACTAACATGAGAATTAAATTTAAAATAAGATTAATAATTTAATGACGGCTTTTTAACTTTATCAACTCCCGTGTTCCTTTGAGCTCTATGTTCTCAACAACCTACCTTACTCCCTGCACTGTACCATCATGTCTACCAAGTTCTGAATCCAACTCTATTCCGAACCATTCTGACATATCGTCGACGAAATCGACGGAGCCGATGAATCGAACCACGCCTTTGCAACCCATCCCCGGCGCCACCTCCTTGACGTGAACCCTGTCTCCGATCCTGATCTCCGACTTCTCGACGATACTCGCCATCACGGCCTGGATCTTCCCCTGCACGTGGGAGACATCAACCTACACATTTAGAACATCATCACTCATCAGTCAGTATAATACAAAAGACGACACCAAATTTTAAAATTGGTGAAATCGTAATGTTTACTTATTAAGTAAAGATGTAAATTTTTAAATAAACAGATTACCATTCGCAGATATTTCATTAAAAAACATTAAAGAACCCACGAGTTTAACTCGTTAAGATTTGTAATTATGAAAAGACGAATCTTGATCAATCTCATTGGTCGGAAGATTTTTGATCCCACATTTTAATTTTCTACAGAGTGACTTTAACTCCTGAGTAACTAGTTTAGCTTATTCCGTCCATTTAAAAGTTCCTTGCTTTGGTCCTCTGAAGAAAGGGCAGGAATTAAAGTTTAAATTTTACATCAGTATGATATCTCCTTCTACGTTCTAACAGATAAAAGTACTTTTCTATACCAATTAAATGTGAATAAATCGATAATCATATTAAGCGTTCTCTTAATTATAAATTAATCTCCATTATAAAACTAAAAAACTAACCTTTCCATAATTAACCACAGGTTTGGAGGGGGTACGTTTGACCGGCGTAGTTTCTCTGTATCCTCGTCCAACCTTGGATATCTTATTTGCAGGGACAAACATACCATGCGCTTCATCACATCTATATAAAGTAGTAATCTCTGTTAATCTGTTTGTTTGTATCTCCGATCATAAATCATAAATCCCTTGACCGATTTGCCTCAAATTTTGATTGGAGAACTCGATAGAACCACTGATTTAACATTCTAAGTGGGGGAGGTTGATTTCTAAAGAGAAATTTAGTTTCTTGACAAAGCTAAGTTCTTAAATAGAAGGACTTCATAGATTTTTATCCAGTTGTAAAAATTACCCCTATTTACGAAGAAGGGAAGCTAAACGAAATTCAAAAGTTTTTGTTAAACGGAACAAATTTAAAATTTTGTAAGACTTGTTGTATTAAATAGATTATTATTATTTATCTAAAATTATTAAATTTTAGTTACTTGAATTTAATTTCGAATAAAAAATAATTAATTACCTAAAATATCGAATTCCCTTGACTGTTCCATCATTCTTTCCTTCAGGAATATCCAGTTCTATTCCAGCCCACATACCAATACTAAACTCAGTAGTACCACAAAACCTGTAATAGTAATATCCAGTTCTATTCCTGCCCACATACCAATATTAAACTCAGTAGTACCACAAAACCTGTAATAGTAATATCCAGTTCTATTCCTGCCTTCATACCAATACTAAACTCAGTTATAGTAGCACAAAACCTGTAATAGTAATATCCAGTTCTATTCCTGCCCACATACCAATACTAAACTCAGTAGTACCACAAAACCTGTAAAAGTAATAATAACAAAGAATAACAAGAATAACTGAATCAATGTCAAAAAGTCATGGGGAAAAAAAGATATTGAAAAAAAACTTGGAAATAAAACTTGGATTAAAAAGTACCAAGACAAAATTTCACAGGAAATAAAGTCCTGGAACTTTTTTTCCTAAAATGGTATTGAGACTGTCAATAAAGTCTCAGGATAAAAGTTCACAAGAATCAAAGTCATGAAGAAAATTTGTCTGAGGAAAAAAGTCCTAAGAAATGTTGAGCTTTATCCCCTTTATAAAATGTGCAATGTTTAATGTAAAAGTTTAGCCAGCTAAATGTAATATGAGGATTCATGAACTATAATAATAATATAATAAATTTAAATAATAAAAAGATATACAGGGTGTCCCACATCAAATTAGACCGCGTCAATGGGTCTAAATTACAATTTGCGGGATAAATCAGAAAATTTAAGAAGAATGAATCATTTAAAAAAATTTAATTAGGCTAATAGATTTTTTTTTGCAGAAAATGCAAGGTTTTATTATGTGCGTATTTTGGCGTTAAAGATTGGAGATAATCTAATGATCTAATATGGGACGCTCTGTAGCGCACTAAAGACTCCGGTTCATATAAAGAAACGGACCGATTTTTAGGCCGCTAAGAGTAATTTGCAGTACAATATAGAATACAAACAGATTGTAGACGGTAAAACGGGACAGTACACCATTATATTCACCCCCTTTAAGTGAATTAAATAAGAAGTTTAATGACCCACCTAAGTGTTCCGATCTTATTACCAGCGACCACCCTGTCGTTGAGCTTGAGTCCCATCGCCTGCATCACGGTTCTCCCGGAGATAGAGTTTACTCCTGATCTTGTCAAGGTTACGGAGCTACGCATTTTCCCTTCCAACCCTTCAGAGAGAAGACGAACCATCTTGTTGATTAAATCCTGAAAACAATAAACTTTAGAATATTGGATTGGTCATTTAGTACTGTACTGTACTGTACTGTACTGTACTGTACTGTACTGTACTGTACTGTACTCTGTACTGTACTGTACTGTACTGTACTGTACTTTACTGTACTGTACTGTACTGTACTGTACTGTACTGTACTGTACTGTACCTGTGCATCTGGAACTAGATCGAAGGTTGAAGCATCAGGAATACATTCAACTGGTCTCCGTCCTAGATCATCTGTTGCTTCAGTATCTGCTCCAAACTTTAATAGAACCCTAAATATCAGAATAAATTATTAGCATTAATTAATTGCGATTTCGAAAATTAGCAATTTACTTAAAAGTTTCTTAGTTCACTGCTCAAAACCTCTGGTAAAAAGTTGCTTTAGGTGGATATAATTTTTTTTAACCTATCTGCCCCCAAACAAATGTTAGAAGCTGCTTAATGGAAGAGAGCTTATATTGTTACTAACATAGCTGCTCCCAAACATAGGTTAAAAGCTGCTATATGAAAGGGTGTAAATATTTTTAACTAACCTAGCTGCTTCCAAACAAAGGTTAAAGAAGCTGCTTTAAGGGGTGTTTATATGGACACTAACCTAGCTGCTCCCAAACATTGGTTAGAAGCTGCTATATGGAGGGGTGTATACTGTATATATATTGTTACTTACCTAGCTGCTCTCAAACAAAGGTTAGAAGCTGCAATGTGGAGCGGTGTAAATATTGTTACTAACCTAGCTGCTACCAAACAAAGGTTAGAGGCTGCAATGTGGAGCGGTGTAAATATAGTTACTAACCTAGCTGCTTCCAAACAACGGTTAGAAGCTGCAATGTGGAGCGGTGTAAATATATTTACTAACCTAGCTGCTCCCAAAAAAAGGTTAGAAGCTGCATTGTGGAGCGGTGTAAATATAGTTACTAACCTAGCTGCTCCCAAACAAAGGTTAGAAGCTGCAATGTGGAGCGGTGTCCCGTTTTCATACTCTACACACTGAGTATCTACATCAGATCCCTGTAAATAAATTTATAATAATTCGGAGATTTGGGTATTATATCATTTATATTATTTTTTATTGTTCACAAAAGAACTTTAGCCCTTTTTCATATATTTAGGCAATCTGTATATCTGTTTTTCTTCCAAGAACCTGGAACTCTATTCCATTGGAAATAAAATCTTTAGGCACCCTAGCAAGTTTTAAAACAAGTCTTTAAAAAAAATTTCTTGAAGAATATAATAATTTTCGTTGTATAAATCGAAATTGCTTTTCTTGCTAAATCTTGATTCTATCCCCTTTCCCCTGTTATTATAACAAAACAAAATAAAACATATACATTATAAACTTTGTGTGCTGGGGTGTCCCCCCCCCCCTACGATCCATTCTTCTTCTTTTCCTCTCTATTCTTCAATACCTTTCCTCTACTACTTTTCCTTTTCCTCCTTTTCCTTTAATTCTAAATTGTTTTTGTTTTATTTTGTTATTTAAATTAAACTTGTATGTATCGCTGCAGAAGGGCCTCTCATTCAAAACAACCAACAATGGTTAGAGAGACCCTGACTAAATTAAAATGTAAAAATTGCGCAATTTAAATTGTTTTTAATTAAATATTTATTCAAATATATATCTATTTATCTATCTATCACTGCAAACTAGTCAAAAGTTGAAGGTTAAAATTCATGCGGATATCACTGGTACGACTTTGTGACCTCGGTCCTTATTGCTTCTCTAGTTTTGATTTTGGACACAAGTACGAGAAACATTTATTTTCTTAGAACAAAATAGAAAATTTCAAAATATCTTTTCAATATCTCTTCAAGAACAGAATTTATGGTTATAAACATGTAAGATATAAAGTCTCAACTTTCTCAAGTCCTAGGACAAAATGTCAGTGGAAATAAAGTCCTAAGTTATAGATTCCTGGCACTTTCTTTCCTAAAATAATTTGGGGGCTGCCAATAAAGTCTGAAGAAATAAGATCACATGAATTAAAGTTCTAAAGAAAAAAGTCCTATGTCTTGGGAAAATGAAGTCAAGACGTTTTCATAAACAGACTTTCATCTATACATCTGCATATTGAATATAGCCAGGGGTGTTTTAAATATCAAGTCCCTTTTTTCCATGGTTGTAAACATCTTTTGTTTCCAAGCATTTTCCACAGTAAAAGGACTTTTTTGTATAAAATCATACTGTAATTCAAAAAAAGTCCTAGAAAATAAAGTCTCAAAATGGTAGGACTTTATTTCCAAAGATTTTATATTTCAAAGACTTTTTTCCACGGGACTTTTTTAGTGTCAAAATTATAGGACTTTATTTCAGAAAACTTTTTTAGAGAACTTTTTTGGGCGGTTACCACAGGGAAGAGCACACGTATAACAAGTCTATCAATAAAGAATATCTACAAAACTCATCAAAACATTGTATTTAAATATGTGGCATAGTGTATAGGAGCCATGTCCGTCCATCGACATCTAGATAATTCAAGGAATTTAGATTAAAGGAACTGTAAACATAATTTCAAATGACCATATATTTAGAAAGTGGCATGTCAAATTCTCAGTGGTATTCTTTAAACCTCCGCCTGAGCAACAATGAACAAGGTTTTGTTTATCTACTCTATTCTATTCATATAATCTATTCATCTTTGAGCAAGGTTTAAAGAGATACCGTTGTAAAACGGACAAGTCAGTCTGCAGTCTGCACTCTCCACTAAATCCCACTATTTATACGACCAGAGTACTGAAATCCATCTATTTATACTGCCAGAGTACTGCAAATCACACTATTTATACTGCCAGAGTACTGCAAATCCCACTATTTATACGGCCAGAGTACTGCAAATCCTACTATTTATACGGCCAGAGTACTGCAAATCCAACTATTTATACGACCAGAGTACTGCAAATCCCACTATTTATACGGCCAGTGTACTGCAAATCCTACTATTTATACTGCCAGAGTACTGCAAATCCTACTATTTATACGACCAGAGTACTGCAAATCCTACTATTTATACGGCCAGTGTACTGCAAAACCTACTATTTATACGGCCAGAGTACTGCAAAACCTACTATTTATACGGCCAGAGTACTGCAAATCCAACTATTTATACGGCCAGAGTACTGCAAATCCAACTATTTATACGACCAGAGTACTGCAAATTTAACTATTTATACGGCCAGAGTACTGCAAATCCTACTATTTATACGGCCAGAGTACTGCAAATCCCACTATTTATACGGCCAGAGTACTGCAACACAAAGAGACTTAGTTGAGGGTGCGCTGGAAGCAAAAATATATATGTATTCAAGAGATTATAATTAAAACAAGTAATTAAGATTAATCAATAGTAGAATGATTAACTAGTTATATCTAAATTAAATAATACTAATTATAATATCTTTGAGTAACAAAAAATGTAAAAATTAATGTAAATAATAAAAAAAATTCTTACTTAGCTGATAGATCAGCTCCTTTCTGAACAAGATATGACGCAATTTTTGACGCAGTATCCACACTCCCAACTCCACTTGCCCCTGCTTTGGCTGCGTACATCACCAGCGTCATGTCCGTCAAGGAATCTCTGAAAAAAAAATTTTGTTAACAAAAACTGTCCTGTATTCTGTTTTAGTTAACTATGCTATCATTGTTATTTCAACTTTTAATAGTCGCTAAATCTTTCAGCATTTTCTCTTCGATACAACAAGAATAAAAAAATTTGCTGAATTACGTAGATTTCAAAATTTTACGAAAATCAAAAATATTTGGAGACAACTTTGAGCATCTATGTGGGTTCATGTGAGGTCCCACACAACATATTTGGCCCTGATCAGTTCACCCATTATGACGTTTATTTAACACAAACGGACAGTCAGACAAGCAAAGTATATATATATATAGATTAAATTTATGATGCATATGTCCTAGGCAAGAGAAATTTTGGCAACCACTTTTTTGGTATCTTTAATATCTTCATTATAGAAACCTAGTCAGATCTTCACAAAAAGTTTCAGGACTTTTTTCATGACATCCAAAGTACTTAAATTTAATAAAATAGCTTGCCTCTAGGTAAAAACCCTTAAATAAAGTTTGCAACAATTTATAAGGGATTGTATGTAAGCGTAATTTCAAGTGACCCTCCATGCAAAGATGGCAATACACAATTCACAACGGTACCCTTGAAACCTTTACCTGATCAATATTGTCTTGTTAGGTTTTAACGAGTTTCATTCTGATCATTCTTATATGTTTTCCTGATGTAGAAAGGCGCAAGTCACTTTTGTAGAGAAACCACAATTTTCAAAATGACAAACATTGATATCTAATTCATTCTCAATGGTACCGTTGTAAATCGATCATGGCCATCTTCATGAAGGATCACATGAAATGATGCCAACAGTCCCTTTAATATCTATGAAATAATGCTATCAGTCCCATTAATATCTATGAAAGCAGACTGAAGTACTCCACCTGTCATCAGGGTGCCCGCCACGCTTCATTATCTCCAGAAGAAGATCATCAACAGCGTGCTGGGTTTGCGGAACCCATTGACGCAGAATCGCCAGGATGTGACCAATACTAAACAAACAAAATCATGGATTAATTAAATGAACAGTCTAAACTCTCCAGACTAAGATATTAACTTGAATTTCGTACCGTTCTCAATTCTTTAATATTAATGCAGTTGCAGAAAAATTTTTAGAAAAAGTTTTGTATCCATTAAACTCTTTAATTTATTTTGTGCGATTATAATTGAAGGGGTTTACTTAGATCACATAAATTTCACTAGAAGGGGATCGATCATTCATTTGGCGTACAGTCCCGTTTTGCCTCATATAGTCTGCACTTGTACTGTACTGCTTGCCAAGGCTAACTGAAATTAAGGCCGGTACATGAAATGTACTGGAATGTACCGTGAATTACCCCTTTATTTAAGTTAATTGAAGTTAGGAAATCAAAAGTGAGAAGAAATTTGAAATTAAAACTTTCTCTAAACTATTACATGTCAACCAATTGCTTTGTGCAGACGGCCTAGACAATGTCAGACATTCATGAAGTTACATTTAGATTATTTAAATATCTTAAATATACACATTTAAAATTCAATAAAGAAAATGTTTTAAATCATGAAAATGTTAACTGTCCAACGAAATTCGTATTTTTAATTGCGTGTTCAATATTCCGAGTTTTAAACTGCTTAAATCAAAACTTTTAAAAATTAACCAATTTGTTTGAAACCATTAAGATTTCACTTTATGCAATATCTCGTGGAGTGAGATTTTACAAAATATACGTTAAAAGATTTGTTACTGAAATATTTTTCCTTTTCTGTAATTCCCTTTGTTAACTCTCACGCCTTTTTAACCGTAAAAATAATATTTCTTCCTTTAAACAGAATGATTTATCTCAGTGGCATACGACGCGTGCCCCCCCCCCCCTGAGAGGCTGAGGGGGGGCACCCATGGGGGAGGCTCTTTTAATATTACATCTGCTTGCATTTCCCTTCCTCAGGCCAGGCACATTGGCGTACCTAGGGGGGGTAGTAGTCCTCTTGCCCCCCCTGGGAGTTCCAGGCGGGGCACTGCCCCCCTGGAAAATACAAAATTAAAAGGAAACTACGTTTAAAAAGTAACACCTGACAATGACAAAGACAATTGTGCCCCCTCTAAACAAAAGCCCTCGTACGCCCCTGATTTATCTTAACCCTTGATCCCGTTGCTTTTTTACTGGAGTCGGTACGAGACAACTTTGAAGACGACATCAACGAAAGTTTTAAAAGTAACTTATTAAATTATCTTATTCATTGTGAAATGCATCTGTTTATACTTTTTACACTGCTTTTTTGGGAAACCATTGCTGGAACCTTCTTTAATTTTTCAACAAAATACTGCTAGGTCTGCGATCTCCTTGAAATTACCGAGAATGTTCGTCAACTTCAAAATATGGGGTGAAAATGGAGTTATAATTAAATCATGAAAAATCGGATATAAGCCCAAAAAGCGATCAATAAAATTTTTCCCTGCATCTTGCTTCACTATAGTTCATGATTGCAATTGCTATCAAAATGAAAAACATATGTCCCCTTAGATCATGTTTTCATTGTCCAAATTTGATACTTTCTTTAAAAATTGAAAACAAGTATTATACATGGGAGATATTAATATATAAATTCCTTTTTTAAGCGGATAACGGATTTCGAAACTTCTTGATGAATCCTCAAAATAATTGAGCCACAATAGCTATCTTCTCCAAATATTTTCTCATTTCTTTAATTAACTGAATTCCATTTCTTTTTTCCAAAATTAAATTGATGGAAACTCATCAAGTAAAATATAACTGCACCATCAAAACTTAATGACGACATTTAGGGGCTACAATAACACATCTAAATTATACATTGTAAAATTGATTTAAATTAAAATAAATTGCCTGGTTTCTCTAGATTTAAGAATAGCACTGCATCCATGGCAGCTAGGATCAAAGAATGCAAGATCTAAAGTTCTACAGGTTCCACAGATAGGAGCCTCAACTGGAGGATGGGAGATAGGATGGGGGCGGGGAGCTGCTGTATAATCATCCTCTAGGAGAAGAGGGGGCGGGGAATCCGTCCAGGGGGCGGGACTCATGTCTCTGAGTGTTTAGAGAGTACTGAAGGAAGGACAGGTAAACTCAGGCAGTTCTCAGGCACAGGTGCTAACCAATACTGGAGAAATTTCATGGATAGAAGATAGATAGATAGGTAGATAAGTAGATAGATAGATAAATATATAGATACATGGATAGAGATATACATTTTACGAAATGTAGGTTGATTGTTTACTATTATTATTATATAGAAGATATATACACAGATAGATAGGTAGATATTCAATATACGGATAGATTGAAACTTAAAGTAAATAAACACGAAGTGGAGAAATACTCAAGTTTTCAACTGTATAGCCTTTTTTTTCTTATTACATGATGAGCTGGATTCGTACCAATAAGCAAATTGATTTTCGTCTGTATTTCAGAAAAAGATCACTTAAAAGAATGAATTTTTAATGATTTTAAATATAAATGAAAACTGTTCAATCCAACCATGATTCTTTTAATGTTAAAAAAAGTAGGAAATCTTTACTTTCCCCGTGTTGCAAGAAATTTTCGATTCTCACGCGGCAATTTACAGGATTTTAGCAACTACTCCTCAAGAACTACTGTACAATACGAAAAGCTGTTCTTTCTCCGGGTTTAAAATCTCTTGTTTTTCTTATCCTAGTAATAGTCTTTGTCACAAGCTCAAATTTTCCAATCTCTATATCTTGGCAACCTGATGGCGAAAATCATTGATATTTCAAACTTAGATTATTGGATCAAATAGAATTCATAGTTTGAAATATCTAAGGTCTATTGTGTTGCGAAGATATGGAATTCAAAACTCAGAGTTTGTGACAAAGGCTCAATTCCTTTAACATACTAATGCGTTTTTAAATCCATATGCCAATTATCTTGGCTAAAGTCTGGTTTATGTATATATTGTTTATTGAATAACCCTGTATAAGAAGATTATAGAATAAAGAAAAATCTTCTCGTAAGATCTTTGCGAGATAAATAACTTGAAATGAACTGGATTGACAGGATGAGTTAGAAGCAGGTTCAGGTTTAATTTCATTATAACTAGAACTCTTCTAATCTCAACAACAAATAATTCAGACGAAAATTTAAGTGATTTATTAATATATAAAATATTTGATCATTAAACTAATGATAATAACACAATCGGATGTATTTAGTGAAATCAGAAAAATAAGTGAAGTAAATAGTTTTGTGTTCCGAATTTAAGGATGAAGCATTGATCTCCATCTTATGTGGATTAATTTAATTGATCTTTGATATCAAGTGATGGTCATACCCAAAAGAGATAACTCTAATTTAGGGATTACCCATTGACCCTCGAATTGTGACATAGATTAGGCGCCTATTTTACAGTGATTTTCATAATATGCTTGAATATTGCATACAAGTCCGTAATTTCCTTATGAGATAAATAGATTATAGCTGAATTATTTTATTAATTTTATTTACTAGGGTCAAAAAATCCGTTTCAGGTTGATAATTTGATTTTAAATCTCAAAGAACCTTCTTATAGATAAAAAGGGGATAAAATGTCTCGCATCAAACCCAACATTTTTATTAAAAAAATACTCGTATTTAAATATAGTTATCAATTGTAATCAATTTATTTCAGAAACATGACTACTGAGAATGACAGGTGATTTCTTGATTCGAGAATAAAAACGTGTCAGACAATAAAATATTTGGTTCATGTCAAAATCTATACATATACTTGGCTTTAAAAAAAAATTTCATCCGAAAAACGTCAAAACGGCTGAACCGATCGGGCCTAAATTTTGTGTGGGACCTCGCGTGACCCAAGGGGAGATTTATGGGTGATCAAAATTAAAAAAATTTTCCTCCAACAAAATTTGTTTTCCATTAAATTTTGAAAATTCACGAAATGTTTTTTTATAAGATCCGAAATTTTGTGTTTGTTTTTGTTTTACAGTGTATAAAGAGAGAAAATGTTCACAAATGAAATAGAAGATGGGCGCGAAGCTCCCTGAAAGCCTAGTAAAGTAAATTGCACGTAGTAAGATTGAAATCTTCTAATTGTTATCAATCATAACTTCCCTTTTTGAAGAGTCACTTAAGAGAACAAATTTAAATTGAATTTCTAATATGTAATTGGGTAAGTTTGTTTTTCTCATGCTTGTGCTTAAAATCAAAACTACAGAACCTACAGGGTGAGTAAAAAAAAGAGTGAATAGCGAGATCTTGCACATAACAGATCAATTTTTTGGTAATCTCATTTTCGACAAATATGTATGAAATTTTAGAATTTGTTTTTTGATAGGTAATCTGATAAACCCTTGAAAAAAATACGCAAAAATATTTTTACTCAAAATTAGATGAGCAAAAAAAGTGAGAATAAATTGTTTCTATCACACCTTAATATCAGATCAGATGAGTAGTTTCGGAGAAAATTAAATCAAGAAAATCCGCAATCAATATAGTTTAATGTTACACTCTTTTTCCTATTTTCCTATTATTCTGATTTAGACATTTTTACCTATCTCAATAATGTATATTACAAAAAGAATTTAGAACAAAGATCTCATCAAAATGATTTTTTTTTTCAAAGATAAAAATGCGAATTTTCTCAATTAAATTTCGCACATTTTCTTCGAAACTACTCATCTGATCTTTTTAAGATTTTAAAGTGTGAAAGAAATAATATATTCCAGCATTTTGTTTTTCTACTCATCTTATTTTGAGAAAAAAATAGTTTTGTGTTTCTTTTTTAGGGGCCTAGACTGCCTTTCAAAAGAAATTCTAAAATTTCAAACATATTTGTCAAAAATGAGAACACAAAAAAAAGATTCATTATGGGCAAGATCTCGCTATACACCTTTTTTTGACTCCCCCTGTACAAGGTCACTACGTCGTACCAGTAATGTCGCATAAATTTGACCTTTGCATTCTGTCTAGTTTAGTGTGTGTTCTAACAAATCATACTTTTCAAGTATCATAAGTTTAATAAAAACTTTTCTTTTGCTAGAGTTACAAAATCCTTTACGCATAAACCTCAGAATGCATATAAAAAATAAATACTTGACAATAAACATATGACAATTCAAAGAAGAGAAAGCATGAATGCATTTAATATGCATTTCTTAAAAAAAATGGCATATTAAATTCTTTACCAGAAGTCAATGCATGATGATGGTATTGGTTTGTCCTTTAAATATTCATATTTAGTAGAATACAACTGTGTAATCTCAGTGAGATACAGAGTACCATTTACTTGGTTTAAACTATAGTAAAACCTTGGCATTTGATTTCTGCTTAATTTAACTCTTTCCTAGAATAAGACTTGAACTTGAAACTAAAACAAACACTCATTCTTAACAATTTGTAATTAAGTAAATTACTTTTCATCGTTCAGTGACTGAAGGAAACATTTACCTTGCTTGAAATCTAGTTCTTAAAATAGTTTAAGATCCAATGATTAAGTGCAGGGTTATCCACACCACACGAGACTGTAATAAGGACCATGAACTTTAAAAAAAACTATGGGTTAATTGTTTGACTTCTTGTGCTTAAGATAATTTTTATATAACTATAATTGCTGGACAAAATAAAGTAAATAATTGTAGCGAACATTGAATACAAGAAAAAGTGAGGTTTAATATTTTGTGTAAACTCTGTATAACTGAGCGTCTTATTATTTTTTCACGAATGTTTAGACAAGTCCTGAACAGTATTCTTAACCCGAACCTTCCAATCGGAGAAGGATTGTTCGATCCAGAGAAGGAGAATGAGAACCTGGAGAAGGATCAGATTCCGGAGATGGTTTTAAATCTGGAGAGATTGGGACGCTTTGCCGCGGAGAAAGGAGAAATTCAAGAATCTCTTGCTTTTTTTACAAAGGTTTAATTTTTAATAATCCATAAATTTCAATTATAATTAAATTAAACATTAAGTAAATATCTATGTAACTAAAGTTTGCATTTTGTGTTTTTTATAGTATTACCCTTTATATGATAGTTATAGCTGACAAAACGGCTGGACCAAATTGGCTGCGGTTTTTTTTCTATAGGGAACCGTATTAGTTAAAATAAAAATATAATACTGCAAGCGCGGTTGAACGACGAGAGTAACTATAGACTATGAATAATCATATAAAAAATTATGAAATTGCCAATGAACTGTTTTCCATTTGTCAAGACTATTAATCAATTGATAAGTGGGCCGAAACTGATAAGTCATATTTCTTAAGGACTCTAATGTGACTTGTGTCTAAGAAAAAGACTTGCATTTGACAAATTTTATTTTACAGGTCGGTCAAATTAATATTAAAGAGATTTTCTTGGACATGGTCTGAAAAGTACTTGAGGGAAGGGGCTGAAGGAGTAAAATCATTCATCTTTTAGGGCCATATTCGTGAATAAAAATAATGAATAAATGAATATGGAATGGTTTATTTTACTGTATTAATCATTCTAAATGAGATCCGACAAGTAAGGTTAATTTTAATTTTCTTTTAATTTTAATATTTTGCAGGCTATCCAGGAGTATCCAGAGGTAGCTTCATGCTACAATAACAGAGCCCAGGTCTATCAACTTCATAACAATTCAGATCTTGCTTTAGGTAAACACTTATTAGAACTTCATATGAGAGAAAAACCAATGTTTTTTACTATTTATTATCAATTTTAGCGGATTTGGAGAAAGCAATTTCACTAAGCGGTGGAACTGGAAAAGTAGCAGCTAATGCTTTTTGTCAAAGAGGAATGCTCTACAGAAAGGTACTCTAACCCCAACCCGTTATTCCAGATCCAGACTGCTATGCAAAGACTGGGTCGACTTTAAACTGCCCCCGTGGCCTTTAAGCTGTCTGTCTAACTCACTTACACTTTTTTTCAGCCCAGGCATGAACTTTTCAGAACCATAAAGCACTTCATAAAAGAATTCATTGGCAAAACTCTCACAGATTTCTGCGTGAGAGCTTGCAACCTTTGAATCCCTGTAAATCATATCTTATACGATAATTTATATTTTATATTTTCAAGTAAGATGATCTTAAGCTTTTTTTTTAAAAGGGTTTACGTGTCATTTTTACCATAAAGAGTGTTTTTAGGAAGGAAAAGATGACGCGGCAATGGACGATTTTCGCGCAGCTGCCGCGTTGGGTTCTGGGTTTGCCAAGTCAAAGCTCGTGGAATTGAATCCATACGCGGCAATGTGCAACGCTATGCTCAGGTTAAAAATACATTGCCACTGTATGGTTTGTGGAGTATAATGGTTACCCACAAATAATGAGACTGAAATGACGACCAGAATCTTTTTAAAAATATAACAATCTGAAGGTTGATTTAGAACCTTTGTGCATGATTAAGTTTTAAAAAGGCATTTTAATAAAAATGATCTAGAAAAGAGATAAATGCAACTGCAGGGTTAAGGGCACCATGAAAAAAAGAAGAATAAAAATTCCATACTGTTTGAGTCTAATTCTTTATGGGTAACCTTATACCACTCATACCACAATCAAGATGATACAACATAGCACTTTAAGAATATTTGATTAGAAAATCTTTAAACATAAGAGTTCATGAAAAATGTTATTTTAAAAAAACATGGCGAGAAAGGTAAAAATATTTGATGAATGTTTAGAAATGTTTTCGGTGCACTCTCTGAAGGAAAAGAACCCGGAAGACCCCATGAGCTAGCAGCAAAACAAAATGACTAATAAATATTGGAAAACTTAAAAGTTTTTACAAGTTAAACAACTACAATGTGACTCGTGAAACTGTGAAATAGGAAAACGGTATTTGAGCAATTTTATAGTATTGATTTGTATAATATAATCCAGATAGTTTCATTGGTTGATTGAACTGAACTTGTCGGCTTCAGGTTCCACAGTTTTAAGGGTCCCACTTTAAACGCATTTTTCGGATCTTTAAAAATCAATTAAATTTCTTAATTCCAAAAAGACGCGTCTGTACTTTAAAAAAAATGTTTTTTTTAAATAAAAGCTATTTGAATTATATCATAATTACAGAGCATTTTAGTATTATTGTGATGTATATTGTATATATATATATTGTGTTTATATTTTTAGTTTATTAAAGATACAAGAAACATATAACTTCTTTCTATTAAAGGGGCTGTAGTCGTAATTTCAAGTGACCCTCCATTGTTCTATTTAAAACTTTTATATCATCAATTATGAGGGAGAAAACGTCGATCTTTATGTTTTAATGTGTTTTCCTGCAGCAGAATATGCACAAGTCACTTTTGCACATATACAACAATTGAAAATAATCAGCTTTCAAAATTATAAACATTGATGTATAATTCGTACTTACATCAGACAAAGCTTTTAAGGGTGCCGTTGTGAATCGGGGATTTTCATCTTTGCACGGAGGGTCCCTTGAAATTGCGTTCACAGTCCCTTTATACAAAAGTATAAACTTACCCATACATTATTAAAGAGAGAAAGACGAGTATCCCGAGAATCCAGTAGTTCTCATTAATCTTTAGCTTCAAGTCTAGATACAGTATTCTTATATAATCCTCGTCCAACCAATCCAATCCATACACAGTACTCATTCTCATACTCATACAGGGGTTTATCACTTGGTTGGTATTCAATCTTGATTATAGGATCAAAAGTTTAAATTTTGCAGTCAGAACTTTATTGTTGAGAATCTCTGGTTCAAGCATTGATCTCCATCCTATGCAGATCTACAGATCAATTTAATCTTTTCGATATCCCGTGATGTTCAAGCCCAACAGTAACAACTTTAATTGAGAGATCAAGCATTTATCCTCAAATTTAAAAGTGCTCACATTGGATATTGAGATCACGTGTTCAAAATTAACAATATTCACACTAAATTTCCGATCTCTGAAAACCTTTTTGTTAATTTAGTTTATTGTTAATTTGCTTTCGCACATTTTCTTGCGCTTTTCAAAAAGTTGTTTTCTTCTTTTTCACTAAATTTGTGTAACTTGTTTAATCCACAGAGTTCTCTCTAAAATTCCAGTTCTCTGGTTTCGAATTGTTATCCGTGAAATAAACACTTGATTTCTAATCTGTACTAGGGTCTGTAGACGACTGTTTACTCAAATCTACCGGATCCCGGGGTAAAACGACGAGATAATTTAACTCCACAACTTCTCTGTCACAAAATGCACAAATCATTGCAAATATCAGAATAACAGGAACAAGATTAAAATTTATTAAACAAGGAAATACTATAGGCTCATCTTTCTTAATTTAATCTAATTGTTTATTTATAAATCATAATAATCAAGTCAATTTTTTCGAAACTTTGAAGATTTTCGGACTTAACGGTTCCATAAAATTCCGAGTAGTTTACAACTTTATTAATGGTTTGATCTAAACATTTGCTTTCCTTAAAATATGCAACATTTTAACCCTGAAATGAGATAAATGCATAAAAACGAACGAAAAATGAACAAGAAAGGGTTTTTTGAATCATTGTTGCCTTATATATTATCTCTCGGGATGAAAATTAATTGCTAATTTAATCAAAATAAATTTGACAGAATTTAGTTTTGAAATGTTGGAATATGGTATTAGGTACAAGTTATTAGAAAAACGAAGAAACTAACGAACGAATCAAGTCTAAAACTTTATTTTGAAATTCAACAGATTTTGTAATATGTAAAACAAAGACGACTTAAATTCCGTTTAAACCCTATTTGGCCCATTTCTTTTGTGATAGCTCAAAAAAATATTTTAGCTATAGGAAGCAAAATGTTCTGGCTTTTCTAACTAACCCATGCCCCTCACTTAAGGCTAAAAGCTGGGCTTTTATACCTACTGCCTGAGTCCTCAGGCATACTGCCTAAATGCCTTATTTTAACTATACCAGACTAAATCTTTATTTAGACCTACTTCCAGCCATTGGATTTAAACATTTCATAGACGCCTTTAAAGGGAATTGACACATTTTCAGTTTTTCTTATATACGCATTTAGGTTTTAAAATTTTTGCAATGTTTTTCACATTTAAATTCGCTGGGTCAAAGACATTTCAAATATGTATAATTTGGTTGCAATTTTTTTAAAGCACATTTTTGCTAAAAACTATAATTCGCAATAAATATAGAGGTTTTTGCAAATTTGCCATTTTTCCCCCAGATTATTGAAGTAGAGCCCAAAGGCTTTCCAAAAACGTATCAAGTGTTCAAAATTTATATACAAGAATAAAATGGAGGGGGGTCAAGTTGACCCACCCCAGGGCGGCCAGGCAACCAGTTAGTAAACCAGACATTAGGCTAAATAGGGTTTAAATGGTAATGTCTGTATAAGTACAAACAATATTTTGTTAAATATGTTTTTTATTTTTTTATTAAAGTTAAAACATATTGAACATAAAATACATTCACATAATGAAAAAAAAATATAAAACTGTAAAGTTACAAATTTATGAAGCTAACTAAATTTAAACAATTTTTTATAAATTAGATAATATATTTCAAGTTAAATTGGATCAAATTTACAATTTACATGTGTTGTACAGGGATTGAAATTACATCAAACAAAGAAAAACGATGACATTTAAATGTCATTCTTTTATCCACAAGTGGGAAAACGGGCGATACCAACCAATAGACTTCATTAGATGGTTGTGCGAATTTAATTGGGTTGAGCTTGTTTTTTTAGGCCACACAAATCAGTAACGTTCTCAAGAACGTTACACAAAAATCAAATTTAACTTTCAGTCGTAATATTTAGAAGGCTTCAGGTTGTCATAACTGTATCATTATTTTCTTATTTACAAACTAAGAGACTTCATGAGACGTCTTGAATTCAATGTTTTTTATTCATTAATAGTTGTCAAGAATGTTACACAAATATCGAATAAAACTTTCCGTCGTTAATTTAAGAGGCTTCAGGTCGTCATTACCGTCTCATCATTTTTGGACTAATCTGTCTTCACCCGAAAATAGGTATATTTACGTAAAACTTGCGTATTTTTACGTATTTATCATAACAAGCAATTTTTTTAAGTGCTTAGGTTTTCCAGAAGCATATTTTTACAAATAATTGCGTATACTTTTTACCAGGTAATTTTTTTTTAAGTTGGGTTTTTATTTTACGTATTTTGTCGGTTCTTTTACTTGAAAAAAATTGCATTTCTTTAGAGTTTATAGTCTGATGCAAACCTTAAAAATACGAATAAATTCTCGATTTTTTGATATTAGAAGTTCTTCTCTGCCAGTCAGCATAGGTATAATGAAAAGTGTATGCAGTATAACAAATATTGAATGAATAATTGTTGAACACATATATGAATCCCGAGGGGGTATAAATTTCCATTGATTCTAATTTGTCTGAGAGTAAATGACATTCCTTTTTAAAGAGGGGATTCAATGATAAACCCGGGGGCTTGCGGATTTATTTTTTTGCCTTGCTGGACTTTCAAAGTATCTTTCAATGAAAATATCCCGGCGGGATTAAATGACAATTGTTGCATACCAAAAACCAGCTATTTATAAAGGAATGTTGATTTAGATGGATACAGATGAAGGAATGATGATGGTGTGAATTTGGTAGAAGAATAATGGATTGGATTAGATTGAAAATAATTGATATCTATGAATATGGATTTAAGAAGTTTGTGAAATTAATTGAATAGAAATGAAAGAACAATGTGCATGCAAAATTATAGTCATCTCCTTAACATTTTGGTTTTAGGCCTTGAAAATACCTATTTTTACGTATAGGTTATACCTATAAATTCCAAAATTTAAGAAAACGTTTGGATGTTTTCATACCTAAATCTACCTATAGGAAAAATCTAAAAATTTCTGATGCATTGGATTTCTTAGGTTTTTTTACAACAGCATTTTTACATTTTTTACCAAGGAAATGGTTACGAAAAAGGAAAATAGGCATTTTTACGTATTTCAAATCTTAAAATACGTATATATACGAATGTCATGCGTATTAATAGGTTTTCCGGTTAGTAGGGTGTGTTTTCAGCACTTCTGAACAGAAACTGCTTATCATGAACTAAAATTGAGTAAAATTCCAACGAACAAACAAAACTTAACTTACTGTTTTAAGATAAGGGATACCCAAAAATTTGAAGTTGCCCAAGGAAGAGATTAATAATATATGTTTTAGGGTTAGGTTAGGTTAAGACTCTTTCGGGGCCAAGCGCTGCGGCTAGGACAGGCATGGGGGCCGAGCGCCGCGGCTAGAACATGCTCTCTCTCCGTCTTGTAATAGAAGCACATTTTGACTCGTTACTAATATAAACATTCTTATTGGTTAGTTTGGCCCAAGATCACCCTACCTTGTATCCGAATTTTTTTTTTTTTTCGGAAATAACCCATTTAAAACCTTTTAGTGGTCGTCAACGTCTTATTTTTGTAGACAAATTTGGTGTTAAAACATTTTATTTTTATGAAACTAAAAACAAACACAAAATATTAACACCATTGGGTGAGTATTGATTCCTGCTAATATGGCTAATATTACATTAACATCTGAATATGAACATTAAAAAACGAAATCCTACAATTGAAACCTTACAAAATACATATTATTTTTTAGTATTTGAACCATTACTCTGAGGAATTCTTGCCCATGCCTCCATCAAAAATAGCGGGAAAAAAAAACAGATATTTAATTCTAAATTGATAATTTCTCTAAAAATTTAAAGACGAAAAGAAATAATAGGCTTCCTTTAATCCTCCGCCGGCATGTTAACCCATTTCCTTCACTCCTCCGCCATGTAAATCCATTTACTTCACTCCTCCGCGATGTTGAACCAGTTCCTTCACTCCTCCGCGATGTTAAACCAGTTCCTTCACTCCTCTGCGTTGTTGCCCCATTTCCTTTAATCCTCCACCATGTTGACCCATTTCCTTCACTCCTCCGCGATGTTGAACCGTTTCCTTCACTCCTCCGCCATGTTAAGCCATTTCCTTTAATTATCCTCAATGTTGATCCATTAACTTTATTCCTCCGCCATGTTAACCTATTAACTTTATTCCTCCGCCATGTTGACCTATTTTCTTTATTCCTCCGCCATGTTGACCCATTTCCTTCACTTCTCCGCCATGTTGTCCCCTTTCCTTCACTCCTCCGCCATGTTGACCCATTTCCTTTAATCCTCCGCCATGTTGACCCATTTCCTTCACTCCTCCGCCATGTTGACCCATTTCCTTTAATCCACCGCCATGTTGACCCATTTCCTTTACTCCTACTCCATGCTGACCCATTTACATTTGAGATTAGCTTGAGTAACTTCTTGAGAAATATTGTTTCCTATTGGGCACCTAGAATATAAACCATAAAGGGATTGTTCTCGTAGTTTCCTGGGTACCTAGAATATAAACCATAAAGGGATTGTTCTCGTAGTTTCCTATTGGGCACCTAGAATATAAACCATAAAGGGATTGTTCTCGTAGTTTCCTATTAGGCACCTAGAATATAAACCATAAAGGGATTGTTCTCGTAGTTTCCTATTGGATACCTAGAATATAAACCATAAAGGGATTGTTCTCCTAGTTTCCTATTGGGCACCTTGAATATAAAACATAAAGGGATTGTTCTCGTAGTTTCCTATTGGGCACCTAGAATATAAACCATAAAGGGATTGTTCTCGTAGTTTCCTATTGGGCACCTAGAATATAAACCATAAAGGGATTGTTCTCGTAGTTTCCTATTGGGCACCTAGAATATAAACCATAAAGGGATTGTTCTCGTAGTTTCAAGTAATTTCAAATTAAAAGAATAAAAAATAAAAATAAAAAAGTTCTCTATCTAAAAGCTTGAACAAGATATAATGTAAAAATTCGATTAACAAAAAAATCATTTTTAAGTAGACCTTTTTTTATAGACGTGAACATACTTTTAGATTATATTTTGTCCATAGGTTGGATTTTTTAAAAAGTATAAAAACTAACTTTTCTTTCCATAAATTATACGTTCAATTGGTGCGAATTGAGGTTATTTAATTCTAATTGTTAGCATAAATCTTCTAAATGAAGTAAAAAATATTTCTAATTAATGATAATAATAAAATATTTACTTTGGTATAACAGGAACCTGGAATACGTCTTGAGGTTGGATAATACCTCGTTCAGATCTCCAGAACTCATATCCTGCCCACGCTAAACAGAATACTTTAGAAATAACCTGGAGGGGGAAACTCTTCAAATTACTTGATAAGTAAATAAATCGGTTCTTTGGAAATTGGATTGGTTAAAAATTCAGGTACTTCCCCGGCACTTTTGTGAGCTTAATGTGTAGTAAACCCATAGATAAATAAATAAACATAGATAGCTTATGTACGCAAAATCACCAAGAATTTTACAGTCCGCGAACTCATACTTCCAAGGGTCAAAGTGTACTCCAATGATAAGCGGAGTGGTTTGGTGTTTTAATGGATTTCATAATAGAGTGTAAAATAACTCAGGGAATGGAACTATTTGAACAACCATATTTCACTGAGCAATATATCATATTGACGAGAACTGAAGAAGGACATGAGAAGAACTAAACTAACTTAAATGTCTCTCTACAGAACTCATGTAAACCACAAGTACTCAATGACATAAGAACAGCCAATGTTTACAACCGACCTAGGTAATCTATATAACAGGAATATCTTTAAAACATCTCTGTACATTTATATCTTTCAATATGAAAAATGTCGTCTTATGCGCAATCTATCTTTATCTATGAGTTAACCGAATTCATATATTTTCAAGAAAAGCCATCAATCGCATAAAGAATGTCCAAATTTGAGGCTTTGGCTTTAAACTTTTTTGTTTTGAGGCACCCTACCTACCTATCATTATTCCATTATCTGTGCAAAGTTTAGGATTAGGAAAAACAGCTTTCCAGCCTAGGCTCTCACATACACGGGATATACTTCCCCTAAACAATCATCATATAGGATTTAATAATATAATGCTCCATCATTCAATGAAATAGGGATCGACACCCTTTGCCACCGAAATGTATCCATGGACAAAACTGTCTGATTTGTCCTAAAAATATCGTAGGAATTCATAATTTTAAGTACTACCTGAAATTTTCAAATTTTTTTTGCCTCTTAGATGCCATTTACCCCAAAATTCATTTATTTATACAAATATAGCGAATTAAACCCTACACATTTTTTGCCGCCGCGCAGCATGAAAACAATGACCTATAAACAGAGGAAAAATCTTTATTTATATACCTGATAAACTGATTACTTGCTACTCCCCCGGAAACAACCAAAGTACTCCCTACACTCATCAGCTCCTGTGAAATCAAAGTTCAGAACTGATATTCGTATCTTTTTTCGTTCGAAGATTTAAGTTGATTCTTCTTGAATACATTTACTAAGTCAGAGTATTCTTCTCTGTTTGTTTGTCCAAATATAATTAAACCCCTTGACAGGTTTAAGTTGATTCTTCTTGAATACATTTACTAAGTCAGAGTATTCGTCTCTGTTTGTTTGTACAAATATAATTAAACCCCTTGACAGGTTTAAGTTGATTCTTCTTGGATACATTTACTAAGTCAGAGTATTCGTCTCTGTTTGTTTGTCCAAATATAATTAAACCCTTTGACAGGTTTAAGTTGATTCTTCTTGGATACATTTACTAAGTCAGAGTATTCGTCTCTGTTTGTTTGTCCAAATATAATTAAACCCCTTGACAGGTTTACCCTAATGTTGATTGGGTAACTCGGTAGAACAACAGAAATGTTCTTTTGCTTGACATGAAAATTGTCCTGGTCTCTAGGTAAAACTGGGTTCCCAAGCAAGTAAATAAACTAATTTTTCAATTGATTCATCAATTAAAACCAGAACTAGGAAGACCAGTGTTTCGGATCCGGATCCGTATCATTTGGTCGGATCCGGATCCGGATCCGTATCAGAAAACGTTGATATGGATCCGGGTAGCGCCAAAAATTAACCAAAACCATGGAATAAATAAATCAAAATGGTTCGTAAATGTATTATTTACATTTTACATGACGAAAATTTTTCAAAATTATCTTTAATAATTTAATGTTTACATTTATATAATAGTAAATTAATGACGACATTTTATAAATTATAACCTTGCATGACATTTAATAGGGAAAATCCGATTCACAGAATCAAAAGTTACCTCGGATCCGGATCCGGATCCATCATCACGGATGCGGATCCGCGGATCCGGATCCGAATCAAAATGATATGGATCCGAAACACTGAGGAAGACACAAGAAAATTGTTAAATATGAAAACTTAAAATCATTATAATAAAAATAAAAAAATAAAAAAGGAATCCATGTACTGACCTTGTATTCTGTAAACTCTATACCACGTTGTAATCTCTCACATAAATGTTTACTAACAGCGTACTGGAGACCGGCGCACACGTCGGAAGCCTAAATGCATTGTTAGTAAAAAATTTACAGCATTTCACCTAACCTCTTAAAAACTAAATTTATTTATGAGGAAGTCATTTTGGAAAAAAGGTTTATCATAATCATATTTATCAGCCTGAAATCAGCATACGTGTTAAACCCGTGCTTATTTATCATTGCTCATGATTTACAACAATTAATGATTCTATAGATATTATCACCTCTGGAATAACTGATTGAGAATCGAAAGGTAATTCTCGATTTTTTTCCAACCGTCTTAGAACCAGGTGTAAATGTCCTTTATATCCTAAAACAAAGAAGAGTAAAACTTGTATAAGAACCAAAAATAAAAATTTTAAACTTTAATCACGGCCTTCTACAATTTACATTCATTTATCTAAAGTTTTACTAAGAGCAAAACTTTTTATCTAAAATTTTACTGAGAACAAAACTTTTTATCTAAAATTTTACTGAGAGCAAAACTTTTTATCTAAAATTTTACTGAGAACAAAACTTTTTATCTAAAATTTTACTGAGAACAAAACTTTTTATCTAAAATTTTACTGAGAACAAAACTTTTTTTCTAAAATTTTACTGAAAGCAAAACTTTTTATCTAAAATTTTACTGAAAGCAAAACTTTTTATCTAAACTTTTACTGAGAGCAAAACTTTTTACCTAAAGTTTTACTTTGAGCAATGTCTTAATTCAATAGTTCCTAGGCTTAGTCCGTTTTCTTTCCCGTTGACCTGACGGCTAAACCTTAGCCGCGGGATGGCTTAATGGTAAAAGAAATGAACAAATAAAAATAAGAATTTACTAACCTGAGAAACTAAAGTTGCAATTTCTTTCGTTGTGTAATGGAACAGTAAACTTTATTGGATTCACAGCTTTCTAAACACAAGAAGTTCATTAGATTATCCTCCTCTGGACACAAGAAGTTTATTAGATTATCCGCCCTGAACACAAGAATTTTCTTAGATTATCCTCCTCTGAACACAAGATGTTTGTTAGATTATCCTCCTCTGAACACAAGAAGTTTATTAGATTATCCGCCCTGAACACAAGAAGTTTATTAGATCATCCGCCCTGAATACAAGAAGTTTATTAGATTATCCTCCTCTGAACACAAGAAGTTTATTAGATTATCCGCCCTGAACACAAGAAGTTTATTAGATTATCAGCCCTGAACACAAGAAGTTTATTAGATTATCCGCCGTGAATACAAGAAGTTTATTAGATCATCCGCCCTGAATACAGGAAGTTTATTAATTAGATTATCCTCCCCTGAACACAAGAAGTTTATTAGATTATCCGCCCTGACCACAAGAAGTTTATTAGATTATCCTCCCCTGAACACAAGAAGTTTATTAGATCATCCACCCTGGATACAAGAAGTTTATTAGATTATCCGCCCTGAACACAAGAAGTTTATTAGATTATCCGCCCTGAACACAAGAAGTTTATTAGATCATCCGCCCTGAATACAAGAAGTTTATTAGATTATCCTCCTCTGAACACAAGAAGTTTATTAGATTATCCGCCCTGAACACAAGAAGTTTATTAGATAATCCGCCCTGAACACAAGAAGTTCATTAGCTTATCCTCCTCTGAACACAAGAAGTTTATAAGATTATTCTCTCCTGAACACAAGAAGTTTATTAGATTATCCGCCCTAATCACAAGAAGTTTATTAGATTATCCGCCCTGAATATAAGAAGTTTATCCGCCCTGAACACAAGAAGTTTATTAGATTATCCGCCCTGAACACAGAAAGTTTATTAGATTATCCGCCCTGAAAACAAGAATTTTATTAGATTATCCACCCTGAATACAAGAAGTTTAATAGATTATTCGCCCTGAGCACAAGAAATACATTAGATTATCCACCCTGAACACAAGAAGTTTATTAGATTATCCACCCCAGAACACAAGAAGTTTATTACATTATCACCTCCTAAACACAAGAAGTTTATTATATTAACTGCCCGTGAACACAAGAAATTAATAAGATTTACCCCTCCTAAACACAAGAAGTTTATTATATTAACTGCCCGTGAACACAAGAAGTTAATAAGATTTATCGCTCCTAAACACAAGAAGTTTATTATATTAACTGCCCCTGAACACTAGAACTTTAAAAGATTTACCGCTCCTGAAAACAAGAAATTTATTAGATTATCTGCCCCTGAACACAAGAAGTTTATTAGATTATCCTCCCCTGAACACAACAAACTGATTAAATTTACCTCCCCTGAGCACAACAGGGACTAATTATATTTACCACCCAAGAAAACAAGAAGATAATTACACTTACCGACCCTGAGCACGAAAAGATAATTAGTTTTTCTGCCCCTGAACACTAGAAGTTTGATACCTTTGCTAAAGTTTCAACTGCTAGTCCCCCGCTAATATCTCTCATATTTGGTAAACTATGCAACTAAAAAAATAAATTTACATCAAATAAAAATATTAATTACTATAATTTCTAATTTTCAAATGCAAAATTGTCTGAAAGAATATATATTTTCCTAATCCTATTCATTTTTCCATTTGAATATACTTCCTAGCTTTCTATTCATTTACCCATTACAATATTCTTATAATTTGCTCCTTGTAAATCAGATCAAAATTTACCTTCAGATTTCTGGCAGCCTTGTCTAACATTTCTCCAGGAGATCCGTCTAAACCCTCTCCGAGAAGTGTAAAATTATCAATATCCTGCAAATTCACAATTTTGCATTAAATCTGACGAAAACTTTTTTTTTCAAAAGTAAGTTCCATAGGGGTTACTTTATTTTTGTATGTTTTTATTTATTTCCTAACCTAATATTTTTATTACAAGGATGCTCAACATTTTTAATTCTTCAAAAAATATATTTTGTGAAATATATAAAAATTCAAAAAATTGAGTTATTTTTTACCCCAAAAATCAGTGAAGAAAGGATTACAATTTTACAATAACACACCATAAAATTTTCCTAAAAGGTATCATTGTAAAGGACTGTAAGCGTAATTTCAAGTGACCCTCCATGCAAAGATGACAATGTCCGATTTACAACGGTACCTTTGAAACCTCTTTCTGATCAAGTATGAATTAGATATAAAAGTTTTTGTTTCCTTAAACTTTTTATTTTCATTTGAGGTTTCTCTCCGAAAGTGACTTGTGCATTCCTTGTTTATAAAAGGCGATGGAGAAACAAAATAAAAATTTTTCGAGTCAGTAAATTATCTATTTTTTTACCTTAGCAATTCCTAGAATACAGTGACCCCCACTGATCAAGAGGAAAAGGAAAGGGAATTTTACATCTTGCTCCATCCTGTACAATGTAGTGTACAATATGTACAGATTACAATATACACAAATAGTTTACGAAATACAGCTGATTTAAGCACATATTTTTATTATAAACGAATACTGTGCAGTTTTTTTATTAAACCCGGGTTTTTACCAAACCTCTCGATGATGGTTTAGAAAAAAATCTTTTTAAAAAAAAACATGAGTACATATCTTCAAAATTGATTTATGTTCATTTAATCCAAGTTTTTCTTTCCTTTTATCCCTCCCTTCCGCCGCAGGGGTGTATATTTTCTTTAAACATTTTTTTCTCGCTTTATTGGAGAAAATAAATGATTTTTAGGGGATAATAAAAAATTTAAGTAAAAAAGGCATCAAACAGAATGAAAAAAACTTGGAATAATTTTGAAAAAAATATGCACCTTGCGGAAACTATTGAAACTAGAAGTAATTAGCTGACCTGACAGTTAAAGCGTGCGCTGCCATGTGATGAATGGGAATAAGTGGTTTGTTATACTTGGTGCACAGATACTACACATTCAAACAAGAAGTTTTAATATCCATTTTTCAGTTAATATTGAAAATCTAATTAACAATTTATTTAATTGTAATAATATTTAAAGCCAAATAATATTTAAAAGTGAAATATTTTTTCTCGGTTATTTTTAAGTTTTGGCGGAGAGAGATACAAAAATTGGAAAAATACTTTTTAAAACCTTTTTCTTTCTTATTCCTTTGCATAATCTGTTCCAATGATCAAAGGTCCTTTGAGACCTGGTCTGTTGGTAACAGCTATCACAGATACATCTTCCATAGTCACATCAGCCTAAATAGTCATCATTCATAGATAAATCAACTAAAAGAAGGAAAGAAAAGTAGAAAAACTATGGAGAGAATTAGGACAAGGACTAGAACTATGGAGAGAATTAGGGCAAGGACTAGAACTATGGAGAGAATTAGGACTAGGACTAGAACTATGGAGAGAATTAGGACAAGGACTAGAACTATGGAGAGAATTAGGGCAAGGCTAGAACTATGGAGAGAATTAGGACAAGGACTAGAACTATGGAGAGAGTAAGGACAAGGACTAGAACTATGGAGAGAATTAGGACAAGGACTAGACCTATGGAGAGAATTAGGACAAGGACTAGACCTATGGAGAGAATTAGGACAAGGACTAGACCTATGGAGAGAATTAGGACAAAGACTAGACCTATGGAGAGAATTAGGACAAGGACTAGAACTATGGAGAGAATTAGGACAAGGACTAGAACTATGGAGAGAGTAAGGACAAGGACTAGAACTATGGGAACTATGGAGAGAATTAGGACAAGGACTAGAACTATGGAGAGAGTAAGGACAAGAACTAGAACTATGGAGAGAAAAAGAATAAGGACGAGGACGGGCGTCTAGAGATTAACCTGTTTAAGCGCCTCCTCTACAACCCCTTGTATCTTGTCTGTGTGGAAAACCATGGCAAAAGTTGGTATAACTCCTCCAAACCTTAAAAAACTAGCTTCTTCAGCAATCAATCAATCAAATAATGATTCAATCAATGAATAAATCAATCAATAGCACAGATTGAAATAAGTTCTCCAAATTTTAACAGCTTGCATCTTTAAAATCAATTAAATAATCCATTCATCAATAACAAAGATTTGGATACTACTTGAATCTTGACAACTAGCTTCTTATTAATCCAACAATCAATTAATCAATAAACCGTCACACAAACAACTGTGGTTTAAATCTGTCAACCGTTTTTAACGATTCTTTTCAATTTTAGAAGCAGTGTTAAATAAAATAACATTTGTTTTGACAAATAAAAAATTTCAACATGTTTGAAGACGTCTAGTTTTCCTTGTGGATAATTGTGTGGACAAACTTTCGCCCAGCAATCTACCTGATAATTTAATTTTGTTTATTGGGTTCTCCTGCTTAAAGGGACTACAGACTGCTTTCAAGTAAAGAGTGGCATATCTTCTCAAAGATAAGGGAAGACGTACGTTTTGCGTATTACATAATCTTTAAAAAGACAGTTTTGAGAAAAAATATGATGAGATTTATGGTCCTAATCATACCTAAATATTTATGACCAACCAACGTTCATAAGCCGCTTTACATGGCCACACTTGTGGCTCTCTTAGGACTCTTCGCGTGCACAATCCAAGTATATCCAAGTATTGCAGAAACGCTTAAAAAAGTTGAGACGCATTCATATATAGTTAATATTTCATAATATTTTTTTTTAAAATAATTTTCGCTGGCGCTAGATTTTCGAACATTCCTGGAAAATATGAAAATATGAAACAGTAATAAACGTTTTTAAAAGTAACACTCAGATCATGCAAAATACAAAATAATATGAAATATCAACTATTTACGAATGCGTCGATAAATAATCGATGACTATTGTTTGTAATATCTGAATGATTTGTTTGGAATTAAATTGATTTGTTTACGATCCGAGTTGAATGTTGCATCTTTCTGAATTTGTATGGACACTACGTTCTTCGGTATTAGTCGTTTTTAACAATTTTCTCCTTATAGACGCAACAGATAGAAGTAAGATTAGTAGCGATCAAAAGCGCTTTTTTATCGCATTAAGCCTATACCCCCTTTAATTTTCCACGAACACTCGCTTTAAATATAAACTAATTCCGGGTCTTTCTGATTATGATTGTAGTACGTTCTCGGCTACAGACACTGAACATTCAGTTATGAAAATACGGATTTCTTCGTCCTAGATAATCAAACAAAGGTTTAATGGGCGCCGTACTGAATCGGACATGCCACTCTATAATTGTTACTTGAAATTACTACAGTCCCTGTATTGTACATTTTGTACACATTGTACATATGGTACACATTGTACATATGGTACACATTGTACACTTTGTACACATTGTACATTTGGTACACATTGCACATTTTGTACACATTGTACATTTTGTACACATTGAACATATGGTACACATTGTACATTTTGTACACATTGCACATTTTGTACCCATTGTACACTTTGTACACATTGTACACTTTGTACACATTGTACACTTTGTACACATTGTACATTTTGTACACATTGTACATTTTGTACACATTGTGTACATTTTGTACACATTGTGCACTTTGTACACATTGTACATTTTGTACACATTGTACATTTTGTACACATTGTCACATTGTACACTTTGTACACATTGTACAGTTTGTACACTTTGTACATTTTGTACACTTCGACATTTTGTACACATTGTACATTTTGTACACATTTTACATATGGTACACATTGCAGATTTTGTACACATTGTACATTTTTTACACATTATACATATGGTACACATTGTACATTTTGTACACATTGTACATATAGTACACATTGTACATTTTGTACACTTTGTACATTTTGTACACATCATACGTATGGTACATTAGATTTACCTGAAAGGTCTATAACAGCTGCCCCAGTATCATCACAGCTTGTTTCAATACCTTCAATTTCCATCAAATAAGAACTTTTAACAGAAAGTTTATGAAATTTGTAACGATGGTAACTTCCTGGTTAACCAATCACAAGTTTCAGACAGCTTTTAACAGCTTTAATCATTAATTTTTTTTTTAAATTAGAAAGTTTTTTACAGCTTTCTTTACTAGTTTCGGTGAAGAGGTTTCTTTAAGAGAAGTTAGTCGGAAAAATGTTTTAGAAATTTTTTTTGAAAAATATTAACATGCCAAACATGTTTTAAGTCATTTTTAAGAGCTTTTCAAATATTTAGATCCATAGATTTCAGCCACTCCCTACCCTATGCAATAATTAAATTAATTTGTATATTTATTTTTTAAATCTTAAAAAGATTAAAAAAATTAATGAAGAAGTGAAAGGCTTCTCAGATATGCTTTTTTCACACCCATAGTTCAATAAATAAAAAGGCCATGGGCTATTTAGATTTTGTCCACTCCCGTTTTGAACGTACTGTATCTTTTGCAAAAAAAAAATAATTTTGCTGAATTTTTTCTTCATTAAAAACTTAGAAAAGTGAAGAAATTTGACCGTTTCAGCGCAGGCTGTTCTTCAGTAGAAACCATAATTAGTTCACCGGGATAGAGTTAGGTTCACCCAAAAGAAAAGTTAGCGATGATTACATTCCTTTCGTTATCAGCATAAAATTCATGGCAACACAGACCAGTTACCATGAATTTCAATAGAAACTTTACACATAAGATATCCAATAAAATTGTACAAAATCCATAGACTTCCACGTCGCTAATCTCTTGTGTAGCAAAATTGCACATTTTCACTTGAGATTAACGTGGTTTAGAAAACATCATTTAACCAGATCATAAGTTGGGCTGATATTATTTTACTCGAAAAAGTATTTATTTTCATTAAACAGTGAGCAACCATTTAAAACGACGAAATAGTATTGAAGATGAATAAGCGTTAATCAGTTTGACATAGCGTAATAAAAAGTACTTGTAGACAGGGGCGTAGTGGGGGGGGGCCGGTACCCCTAGGGGGGGATCTAGCCCCCCCCCCCCCTAGAGCCAAAGGCAGGCTCTAATATATTAAACTTCATATATATTCAGATTTTTTCTTTTCTTATCAATTGACATTGTCACATTTTGTTCGTCCGTCCGTGATAATTTATCAAATTCTTTCTTGAACCTTAATCTTATTAACAATAATTTTTTCGGGGTTTCATTTAAAATCAATTGCAGTCCCTCAGAGCAAGATGATTGACGCAGAGTTTTATTAAGCTTTAAATAATACTGTCTCCAGTGTGATTTAGTCATAATATGATTAATATTCATATGATTTATGAAATACACAAAAAAAAATATATTTTTTTTAGTTTTTTGCTTTAAGTTTTTTAACTACTAGATTTAATTATGGTGTGATTTGATAAGTCAAATGACTAAAAGTCAGGTATATCAGTATAGATTTAAAGCTTTAATTTTTTTTCTTAATATGGGTTTTCTAGAGGTGGGGGGG